GGCTGTTGTTGGTGTAGAGTGGCTGTTGATGGTGTGAGAGTGGCTGTTGTTGGTGTGAGAGTGGCTGCTGTTGTTGGTGTGAGAGTGGCTGCTGTTGTTGGTGTGAGAGTGGCTCAGTGACTCCTTTGCACCCAGTTACTTTACTTAACAGTTTTTTTAACAACAACAACAAGATTACATTTATATAGCGACATAAATTCTTTAATAAATCCATCTTCTAGTGTGTGGAACTTTTGGTGGAACAAATACCTACAGAGAAATATACATAGAAACAGTACGATGTAAAGTGCGGCTCATATGTAAATCCTGCAAACAGCTGTGATGGACATCGCACAGCAATCTGAATAAACCCCGAGAGAATGCACGTCCTTCATCCAATCAGGTGGGGGCCGTCACAGCTTCTGAAGTTCACAGTTTAGCAGATAAAGGAAGTCCTGTTCTCTGCGGCTCCCTGGCACACCGTGATCAAACCTGCTCACACACACAGGCCTCTTCCAAAGTTGTTGTGATCTAGTTAGGGAGGGGGAGAAATCATCAATTTGATGAAGAATCTGCAGGACACCTATAGTTACATTTGGAAGAAAGTAAGTGAAATCGATGGCAGTGGAAGGCTCCACTCAAGTAAGTTTCAAAGGCTTTCTGCTTAGGAAGTAGGCCATGTTGCTCTCCATTTAGCTCTTGTGTTTTTTATACCTTTGCCTTATAGCTTCAAAAAGTATTGTTGCATGGTTTGTTTAAGTGTTTTCTGTAGGTTGCTGGCTGAATATATAACATTCCTCATTAAAACTGCTCAGATGTTAAGCCTGCAGCAATGCTTTTTGTGTAAAGAGTGCGTCACTGAATGCTTAAAGCATTCTTTTAAGAAATACGCCAAATCAAAGAATGTTATTCACAGTATGTTGTTCTGCATGAAATGGAGAAAGAAGCAATTCAGTATGTTCCTTTCTCCCCTAGTTCCCCATCCCCCACCCCCCGCTCCATACCACTGGAAAAGTGTGTGCCGATTTGTTGAGGCAGAACAGCGACATCTGTAAATATTTAACTTTAGACCTTGGTACGTTTTTAAAAGCATGTTTAACTTGTCAGTGACTACAGCATTTGATTGAGGGGCACATTACTAAGTGACGGGCTGTATTGAGGCCTGTCTTTGTCTCTGAGCACGACTTTATTGTCATTGGATTTTAACTGTTTGACAAGCGGGTTCTTTCACCAAGTCCTTAGTCTTTTTAAGAACTGTCTTAAGAAAACTTTTTTGAGTAACAATTAGCTTTCAACCAAAGTTCCTCTTACCTTCAATGTTTAATATATAGAACTGTTGTGTGTATGTTGATTTGTTGTGTTTTGTTTAATATGCAGTCTTATCTTCAATAGTTTAAAAATGGATAAAAGTTTGTTCTGTTGAAGACAACGCTTCTTGAATCTTTCCCTCTGGTAGACGCTACCCTGTGTGGAGGGCGCTATACAAGTGCAAGTTGTTGTTTATTGTTTGCTTAGGTTCTGGCACTATACACAGCAGCTTGTGACAGATCTCTTGGTTGAGAATGTTCTACTGTTACATAAAACACATACAAATTGTCAGCTTTAGGTGCAGCCCTATTACTTATATAATCACTGCCAAAACTGCCGCACCTTGAGAGGATTTGAAGTTGGAGGTTTCTAGAATATTTTATACAATAGGCAACAAAACACAGATGACACTGGCTACTCTGACAGAAACACTGCAGCAAACAAGATCACAGATACATCTAGTCAACTTGTTCTCAGAATTCTAAAACATTTAGTGCAAAGGTATTTGAGGACTTCCCCGCTTCTTAACCTGTGTAAACCCAGTTGAGCTTTGCTCAGAGATAAGTTTGTTTTTCACACATCTCACATTAATGCTTCAGATCCACCCTCTTTGTCTAACGCCAATCTCACTGCTACATTTGTTAACCCTAACCAGACATTCCTATTTATCAACATTGCTTTATTGCATTGATATTACTAATCCAGGCCTACAAAATTACTCATTTGAAATCAATTTTGTTTTGAAATGTTTTAAAACTTGGATTTGGCAGTTAATGCATTTAACAACACATGTTCTTGTGAAAAGCTCTTTTGCAAAATGAAGCTTAATAATAAATGATTTATGTTTTGAAATATTTTTTTTCAAACAATTGATTGTTTTCGCAACATATTTAGACTTTTTAGATTTAGAGCACTCGCCTTGTAAGCGACAGTCCTGGGTTCCTGGCAGGGCAAAATGTTGGGCGAGTTTCCTTCCTCCACACGCCTCTGTTTACCTAGCAGTAAGTAGGAACCTGGTTGTTAGTAGATTGGCAGATCGCTTTTCTGGGGGTTATAATCCCTTCAAAAAAAAATTGATCACTCAAACCATGACTATCTGTGGGACTCTTCTGTGCGCAATTGGCTGCCACGTTTCACCCACAAATATACAGTCAATTTACTTTACAGAATATTCCGTGAAGCGCTTTGAGACGTCTGGAAAATGTGAAAAGCGCTATATCAAATGCAAGGATTATTGTTATTATTACTTGGCTGGTAGTGGAACTTACAGGCTTAAATGCCTCCTCGTGGGCAGACAGGGCCCACAGGCAGCAACAACAACAACAACAAATTATACTTGTATAGCGCCCTTCACGTCGGAAAGCGATCTTCATGTGTCCTGGAATCTTCTCACTAGAGATCCCTGACAGATGAGCAGCTTTGTTCCAAATTCAGAAACTTGAAAAGTCTCATTCAATTTGAAATACCTCCTCTAAGTACCACATTGTACAGCTTCTTTCTAAAATTAAATTGATCATTCAAACCACGACTGTCTGTGGGACTCTTCTGTGCACAATTGGCCGCCGCGTTTCAATTCACTTTACAGTACATTCCGTGTAGGGGAAATTCATATAATTGGCTTGAAAGACGTTTTGCTCATGCAAATCTGCTGTTCATTGAGAACCATGCTGTTGGGGTGGACTCCAAACAGTAGTAAGTTACTCTTTAGTGCTTAGTGAGAAATGATGCCAACAGTTTTGAGGCAAGGGAAGTAACGAGACAATCATTCACAAAAATGAGCTAACTATTACTGACTTCTGACTTTAACATCACAGAGCAATAACTGGTGATTCTTACAATGTTCAATGTTAAAATGAATAAAGGCTGCAAATGTGTTTAGTAAGAATAAGCTTGTGTTGTCCTGCCAGAAGGAAGTGAAATATGTTTTGTTTATGTTGTGACATTCATTTCCAAATCTGGCCCAAGTTTGTCATTAATTAAGTTTTTCTTCTCTTTGGACCTTTGTATGAGCCAGCCTTTCCCCAACTAACAGGAAGTAAAGAAGACGTATTCTCAGTCCTCTCGCCAGCCTTTCCCTTTGCCACTGCATGAGTGTCCCAAGTTACTCAGCCACATGGACACATTTGTGACCTTCTGTGAAGTGTCCATCTCATAGTTCATCTGACACCAGTTGTTTTAGTTGGAAAGAATTGTGCTTTTGAACCTGTCTCTTGCAGCCACCATGTTTATATTCAATGACTGGCACCAAGTTGTATAACATTCAAACAAAAATATTTATTATTTATTTATACTTAAAGTAGTTCTTAAAGGACTATATTTCTAGATTATTTAAATTTATTATAACTAACATTTAAGATGTTGGGATCGAAATGCTGTGCTTCATTAAATAGTTTTAATTTTATTGCTAATTTCTGGGGTAATCCATTTAATGCAAACTATCCTCCCCAAATGATAATATAATAGGAAGTGGGAAATGGTGAATGCCTTTATGTTTGCTTACCCATCCGCCATTGCAAATAATCCAAGATAAACATACTTGCCTGTAAAACACAGATAACACAGTGGTAATTTGAACAAGTGTAAATAAGGTTATTAAATTCAGATTGTATCTAAATTAAAGGCCTCATATAATCCCAGTTGTTTGCATTACCATTGACTCAGCTGTTTTATGTTTCTTTGTGATATTTCATCTTTCTTCCAGGGTCTTGCAGCAAACGGGATAGTGAGAATGTGGCTAATTTCTGTTTCTTTCCCCTGTTGCTTCAGCTAAGATCAACTACCTTAGACAGGCCAGATATTGAACCCAACACCCATCTTGTTCTGCCTGGTTTTATGCCATGCTATGTGTTGCTTTAAGTCATTAAGGAACCGTAGATTTTTTTTGTGAAAAAAAGTAAACAAATTTGTTATTTGAACAAATTTGGGTTTAATGGATGCCAAATTACTAGTGTGCTGCTTCCATGTTTGTTTTTACTTCTTTACTTTCTCCCCCACATCCGCGCCATGACCGGCACTGTCTACCACCACCTCCGCAATATTGCCAGCCTCCGCCACTGCCTCACACCTCAGGCTGCCCAAACCCTCACCCACACATTCGTCACCTCAAGGCTTGATTACAGGAACTCCCTCCTCATCGGCCTTCGCAACTCTTCCCTTCACAAACTGCAGATCATCCAAAACTCTGCAGCTCATGTACTCTCACGCACCAGGCTCCGTGACCCCATCATTCCCACCCTCGCCCGACCCTATCACTCCCACCCTCGCCCGACCCCATCACTCCCACCCTCGCCCGACCCCATCACTCCCACCCTCGCCCGACTCCACTGGCTCCCCATCCCCCAGAGGATCGAGTTCAAGATCCTCGTCCTCACCTTTAAGGCCATCCGTGGCCGTGCCCCCTCCTACCTCCCTGACCTGATGACTCCCTATGAGTCTGCCCGCTACCTCCGTTCATTAGGCTCCGGCCTGCTCCACATGTCTCCTGCCGACCTGCCCTATCATCGGTGGCCGGGCTTTCAGCCTCTCTGCCCCCACACTCTGGAACTCCATCCCACGGTCCCTTCTCCTCGGATTTGTTGCTAGGTTAGGTTAGGTTAGGTTAGGTTTGTTGATGCTATTACGTCCGATTCTATTTTGTGATGTCACAGTCCATTCATGTTTCCCTCTGTTTACCATAAGAAGCCTCTGATTTAATTGTTTCCTTATCTTTTTAGGGTGTTGAAACTGGCTTTGTTCCAAGCGTTCAAGATTTTGATAAAAAGCTTGCCGAAGCTGATGCCTATTTACAGATTTTAATCGATCAGTTAAAGGTAACCAGTCTTCTGTTCTCTTATTTGGGAAGAGGGGGAGAATCTGTAAGACGTTCACTAAAGTAAACTTATTGAAGTTACCAAATAAAGCATAATCAATCATGAACTAAGCCACACACAATTTGCATTTATGCAGTGCCTTTCATGTAGAAAAAGCCTCACTAACCTCAATACTGTGAGCTTCAGAAAATCAAGTAAAAAGTGGCAGGAATTTTGAAGTGATGAAAGCACACACACAGTGGGATTGTGTAAAGCAGGAAGCTTACCGTGTTCTGCAGTGAGATCCAGAGAATGAGTGTAGCAGCTGAAGGATCGACCTCTGATCCTGGAGACAATAAACGTGCATTGACCTGGTCAGAAGAATGGTGAGGTGAGCTGGAGAGGATTACACACAGGGAGAGGCAAGGCTGGGGAAAGATTTGAGACAAGGATTTTGCAAATGATCCCTTGAGAAACGGGAGGTTGTGTGGAGTTGGAGACTGGAGGTTGGCACTTCCAGCCACAATGCCCAGAAGCTCTAGAACACTTCCCCTATCCATCCGCCTTGCCCCTTCCTTCCCCATCTTTAGGTCACGCCTCAAGACCTTCCTCTTCGACTGTGTCTATGGTCACCTCCACCCGGCTCAGCGTCGTGCTCCGCTACTGTCAAGTGCTCTGGGGCGCTACACTATGTGATGGGCAATGTGTAGATACAAGTTGCTATTGTGTATGGGTTGTATTGTGAGACAGAACTTTGGTCATGTGGTTCTGTGTAAGTTAAAGATTGAGATCACTGACCTAGAGAGATTTAAGGCATGGATTAAGGATTTCAGCAGCAGTTTTGATGAGATAGGAACAGGGATTCTATTCCTCCTGATGGATTATCTGTAGAGTTTGAAATGCAGGTCAGAATAGATTAGAACAGAAGTAGTTTGCCACCAAGTTCAGCCAAAACAAGAATCCCATGAGGTGAGTGGAGTTGGATCTAGAGTTGTACGATGCTGGTGAACAAGTTGGGTTTGGTATTGGCGACATTGAGTTGCTTTTTATACAGCATTGTATGAAGTAATTCAGGTCGGACATTATAGTGCAAACAAAATTACATTGCTTAAAAAACTATTTATTGCCACGTGTTCTGTGTACGAATGTAAATCATTTATTTTCCATGAATTTTTGTGTTGTAAAAAGCTCTGTTCATGGACTCTGTGTGGACATTGGGATAAGATAGGATTGAGGTTGGCTATTGTATACAAAATTCGACAGTGTAATGCACAGCGGCTTTAATGTAGGCTGCAGTATTCTAATTGTGCTAACTATCCTGTGGTGACAGTCGGACCTGGGAGAGCGCAGGCTGTTTAGTTTAGCCACTCACTGAATAAACTTTGTGAGCCTTTGTGAGTTGTTGCCACAGTTCCAGTGTCGAGATCCTTTGACCATCACAGCGTCTGGGAGTTTTCTCAGGAACATGGGACGCTCAATCTGTTTGTGCCTAATGCGAGAGAGAGATGTTTTTACTTTAAGTTTGAAACATTCAATGCTACAGATGAACTGTTGCCATTATTGCTTGGTTCAGTTCAGAATGAGCCATTCCTCATTAATATTCTTCACTTAACTTTATGGAACTGATGATTATTTTTAATGCTTTCAGTTGTTTGATGAAAAGATCAAAAATTGCAACGATGATGAACAGAGAAGGGTAAGTTTCTACATCTGACCCATTCTTTCAACATAATGGCTGTAATGTTTCATTTGGTGCAAAAATGGTATTGAAGACAGATTATTGAATGAGTAGTTATTAGAAGAGGACATTTAACAGTGTTTTGCAGAAGTAAACATCTGCACACAAATATTCTTTGTTGTGAAAAATAAACACATTCGTAAACTAAAGAATTACTTTTATAACCTGATGGTTGGGGATGAGAAAGAAGTTGCAATTCATGTGTGTTTCCTTTTTTTTTCAGAAAATTGAAAACCTCAAAGAAGTAACATGTGTAAGTGTATCTGTGTTGTGTGTGTGTGTTTTTTGTTCTTTGGACTAATCTGGTTCAGCAAATTTCTCTTAATTGTTTAATTTTAGAAAACTAGAAAACCACCTGATCTAGGCAGCCATTTTTCTCATGTAGAAATATATAACTTGAGACGTCTCGAAAATATGATAAGGCGCTGTATCAAGTGCAACGATTATTTTATACAGCAACAACAAAATTACATTTGTTTAGTGCCTTTCACGTCGGGAGGACATCCCAAGACGCTGGACGGACAGAGTTATGGACCCGTAATATAGATATATATATTTATTTATATATATTGCAGCTTCGCTTGCAACCAAAGGATCCAAAATTTCACTCACAAATATACAGTCAATTCACTACAGTATATTCTGTGAAGTGCTTTGAGACGTCTAGAAGATGTGAAAAGCAAATCAAATATATCAAATGCAAGGATTAATATGGAATGTAGATTGACACACAGACAGACACACATTTCATTTTTATCTATACTCCTGTGGGAGGTCTGCCCGTGGGAGGACTGCCCATGGGAGGATTCAGTGCTTTAAAAATGTAATTTTGTTGTTGTTGCCGCAGCTTAGCTTCGTCTGTGTTCTTTATTTTGTTTCCGTTGCCTGGTTACAGGAAGCTCCCTGGCTTCCTGTGACGCAGGACACCACAGCGCCACGGTCAGCCAGCGCGGCCACCAGGTGTAACTGCAGCAAAAAATGCAAAACTATAAATAACTCATGAACAATAGTAAATTGCCCAAAAACAAACAAAATTGCCCATGACATACGTACAAGACCTTTCCAATGAGATATAAAGCATGTCTCTATGTCAATCGGTTATTGAGATCCTTCTTGAAGCGCAGACAGACATTGCCGTTTTATTAGTATAATATATATATATAAGAAGATATAGGCAAATCTGCCATTTGTAGTTGACAATGTTCACCGTAGCAGGGATGTAAAAAAAAGTAAATTCTGCATATAATGAAAAGTGCAAGTTTGTATATCTGTTTTTTGTGTTCTAATACACCAACAGTATAGTACAGTCTATTGAACGTTTGTTTACGACTACCACCACATGAGATCAACTTGTTTTAAATGTCTGTTTTGCTTTTGCAGAGCATGGTTGAATCAATTAAACACTGTATAGTGTTATTGCAGATTGCCAAGGTAAGATGATGATAATTATAATAACTAAGAAATTGGCTTCAGGTACATATTTGTACAGTTCAGGTATTTACAAGATAAGAAGCGAGTTGTCCTCAGCATTGTTGAAAGTCATATAGAAATTCTAGTTTAAAGTTAAATAATTTAAGTTCATTGTAATGTTGTGCCTTTTCATAATTGCTCAGTGTAAATTTATCTAATACTAAAGTCATTGCTTTCATTGCACTCAGTTTGTGTTAGTTGCTCTCATATGGATTAAAACAGGTCGTCTGGCCCTGGTTAGATTTAGGTTTTGTCCTGTTATCAAGACTGGAATAGGAAAACTGTATAGGAAATGAAAGTTGAATTTTTAATATATCCAGTGGCCTCCCTGGTGACATTCCCTCCGAGTGCATTTCACGCGCGAAATATGCAAAGAACTTTGTGGTTAATAGTTATTTAAATATCTAAAAAAAATTCAGTGCACTTCATGTCTGTTACATTTATTTCTCGTTGAGGCCAAGGGGTGGTTAGCCTCAATCTCAACTCATTGCAGTGGTTTTGTACCTCAAGTTTAATGTTTTCTGTTCAAAGCCCAAAGGATAGTTTCAAATAGTTTTTTTTGCCTTATATTAATGGTTGTTCTTTATTTTTGTAAATATATGTGAAAGATGGTAATTTAGTGAATCAAGGTTCTTGCTGTTTGGAGGCAGCCAATGTACTAATTAAGGTTTGTAATAAATAAAGTGGTACTTAGGTTATCCAAAGGGTTTTAAGAAAAGATGCGAGCATTCCAGAAATAGTTTCCAATGTGAGTACTCCTTTAGATCTTATTGGTGGAGGTAAAATCCATTTCATTGCAAAATCATTATGGGTTACCAGAGACTATGCACTGGGCACCTTTTAAGAGGTTTCCATCCCATTAACCATTGTTACCGAGACCATAGGACTTGTCCTGTAGATTTGATTACAAACAAGGTACAGTATTGCTCTACAGTTTGGATCAGCAGTGGAGAATGAATCTTTTTTTGAGTCGTGTCTGCCACGTGTCTTGTGCATGAGCAGTAGTGTTCCTGGCAACCCCTGCATTTCCTTCATCAATAGGCTTTGTAATCTGATTTGCAAAAATAATTTCATTTGAGAAGTTTGGTATGTGGTGAATTGACTGCAAGTGCTGTCCTCCATCCTGGCATTGCTGACAAAAGCACAACTTTGTTGGTGTTCATATTTTTGCTTTTAGAAATTGGTACATACTGTTCATACGCACTGTGTAACTGTAGATAATTTGCAACTCTGGCATATCTTGTTTCTTCCTATTATAATTTAAGTGCAGGTCAAATGTCAGGAGCTTGGCCTTAAGGTGTGTTGTACAGAATTCTGCATTCTCGTGTGCTACTGCATTGGCAATAGCTTTGTCATTGGTGACTGTAGGGATGGCCATAAAAGGGATCAGGAATGCTCTACTATTGGAACAGATAATTCATTGAAATCTGCTTTATCCCAGATTAAGTGGGACTATTGCAATTGTGATTTGAAAACCTCCCAAGCAGTGCTGTTGGAGACATTAGCAAGCAGTTTAAGAATCTTGAGCACTCATCCCAGATAAATTAGTTCTGACACCTGAGTATTAAATTATACATGTTAAAAATATTTTTTCCAATATTTAATTTCTTTGCATTTGGTTTTACCAGTTGAGAGGATGGAGTAAAACCATTGCATTTAGCTCTCTACAAAGCCACTCTGAATCCAGCCTTTAGTACGTGTACAAGAACAGGCCAGATTTCCCCTCATTGAGCCATCCCTTCGCTGCACCATACAGCCTGGCTTACAGACACGCAAAGGATTTGTGGGTTTACTTGACCTGTAGAGAAGAATGAAAGCTATCGCCTACATGACAAATCTGTACCGTATAATTTTATTTTGGAGTTTACTTTGAAAATAATAATCCAAAGATTATTCTGAATTTGCATTCTCAATCTTTATGAAGTCTAACCGAATAGTTAACCGAATAACTACAGCTCCACGTTGAGCAGTCATTGAAACTCTGTGTAAACTATAACACCTAATCCACTAATAGTGCTGCTACATTAAGGAGATATTTCACATTTTGCTCTTGTTTAATGGCATCTTGAAAAATCTTTTCTCTCCAAAATTTTAAGGACCAAAGTAATGAGGAGAAGCACGCAAATGGAATTATAGTAAGTTTGTAAACTGGTATGATGCTTTGTTCCTTTTCCTCCTTTCATACTAAGATATTTAATGGGAAATTAGTGATTTGAAAGTTTCGAGAAGGAAATCTTGCATTGTTTCATCCAGTTCTGGACATTTTCATTTCTGATTTCTAGCGGTTTACTTCGTTTCATTGTTGGTTGGTTCTGTTTGGCTGCATTATCCTCTCTTGCCTGGCATCTTCAGTGAATATTGTTTTTAAAGGCAATGTGATTGGTAGGAATTTTAATACAGTATTCTTACAAATAAATGACTAGCTTTCCTCCATATCGAGATTGAAATGCAGAAGCCAATTGTGCATTAAGCTGGAATTGTGTTTTGCTGCTGTCTACCCAGATTTCTGGATTATAGTAATATTTGCAAGCTTTCATTTGGAGATTGCCTGGTAAGGTTCAGCATGACCTTAATCAGCTTGCTGGAGTGCAGTTTACAGTCATCAGGAAAGATCTGGTTTGTAGGCTTGTGTAGATGCTGGGCTACAGGACTTTCAACCTTAAAATGGGTCTTATTTCCTTTCCTTTCTGAAGACCAGTTATGTTGTTTTGTGGAGATTTGAATCCCTGTGTAATTAATGGTCCTGCTCTGTTTCTGTTCGCTTGGTATTCAATGGCTTAGTCATAGGACAAGATTCCTGTTTGGCTTCTCTTGGCATCCTACTCCCCCTCCTCCTGTCTTTTCTGCCTTCTGGTATATTTTGCTGACAAAAGGTGTAGTGTGCAGAGTACTGTACTGAGCAAACTGCTGTAAATGGATGGATTTACATTTCAATGGGATCTGTTGGACTCTGACAAATGGTGAGTCTTACAAAATGCAGTTTTGATTTATAGTAGTTTCTGTTAATTTAATTCAGTTTCATCTGTGATATTAATGCCAAATGTTGGATTACTGTCTCTAGTTCAGAATGTAATCCATTTACTACATAAATCTTAATAAAATTACAAATGAAATAAATAAGGATTCTACTTAAAACTGGTCTGAATGGAGCAGAAAACTATTCCATGTGAAATGAGCAGTAAATCAGGTTTACCAGAGAAAATGATTCTTCGATTGCTTTTGTCTAATATGGATATACACTGTGCATTTTGGCTTAAGCTTTGGGTTCCTTTTTTGCGTACTTACAGCAGTCAGCTTTCTGGCAGTGAAGCATTTTGGTAGATTTTGCTTTGTTACAAAGCACTGATTCCTGAAATGATCTCCAGCACGGCTACCATTGGCACTTCCTATATTAACCTCTTATAACTTGATGTATATTGTTTCAAGATTCCTGCTAGGCTACTACCTCATTAAAATTGCAATAGAGTTTGATATATTGACTGCTTCTGGAACCTTTTAAAATATTTAAGAGGATTTTTCTAGTGCTTTTTAAAGGGCATCCAATAAACAATAACTTGCCCATATTACTCTGCTCATTATTAATCTAAATCTTTACTCAGCAAAACCTAATGAGGGATTGCTTCTCAATAAGAGCTTTTCTGCATGTGTAAGAATTTGTACTATTCTACAAGATGGTGTGTAGTAATTGATTGGATTAATACATCTGTGGCTCAGTTATTGTATCAGTTTTTACACTTAGAAATACACCTTCTCCTTTGTGCAGCCTGACACCAATTTAATACACAACTAAAAGTTCCATCAATAGAATCTGAGTCTTTGGGGTATGTATTTGTCATGTACACATCCTGATGCCCAATGATGCAGAACACATTCAATTGCTCACGCATCACAGAAATGCTAGCTGAATCGGGACTATTTTTTCCTCACTCTTCCACTCATCAGTTTAAATTTCTCCTCTGCCTTCTCCCTCAGGTTTCAGCTGATTTCCATTCTGGAACCGTTTCTATGCCCTACCGCTTTTCATTGTTACTGTAGTAATGCCACAGATAATAGTGTGTTTTAATCTGCTCTCTCTGTCCTCTCCAGAGTTCTATCAACCCAGTGGATGGTATTTTTCAGCCTAACCCTCTGGATTTGACACTAACCAGCAATATGCCTACTCAGACTGTTTTACCAGCAGGTATATAACCTTCTCTTTCAATCGTTTGATTTTATGTAGGCTTTGCTGGAATGTTTAACTAAATTATTTCATTATGCAGAATTGTTGGTACTATTCCTTTGTCTGCAGTTTCCGACAAACATTTTTTTCTGGTTTAAGAATTCATCATGTTGTGTAATGCGAACACAAGCTTTGCCAGCTTTCACATAATATATGCGAGTGGCCAGCAAGAAATACAGAGGTCAATTTAAATTTACCATCAGTTTAACTTTTGCCAGTGGGAAGAACAAACCCTATTGTAAGCAAGTTGTCACACTGTGAATCTCTATAAGCACAGACACTGGTACTGACAGGAGACACCGGCTGGTATCAAGTGCTGGAACTAAACCTGATGAATATGAGAGGTGCCACACACAGCAGCAGTGCATCTCTCTCTGACTGACTGAGACCCGGTGCAGTCGGGCTCCAGTAACTTTTATTTCCAGAAAACCCAATGGCAATGCACTTTTGATTCAACGTATCTGAACCCTAAATTGTAACTGCAATGACAAAAATAACTAGAATTGATATAGCACCTTTCATACAGTGTAGCATCTTGGAGTGCTTAACATTGCCAGAACGTGATGCTGAGCCAGACAAATGACAGATCTTTGAAAAGGCGCTTCACTAGTAAATTACACTTTAGTTTATTTATGGTCTTTAAGGGGAGTCATTGCCATTCTGGGGGAAATTGAATCTGGTAGATGCAAGCACAATCTTTCCTCAGTAGATTGTAATGATAAAATGCACATCCCAACACTAGTGATATTTGATGATGTGAGTGTCGTGGTGTATGTTACAGAGGTGGGAGAAGGATTCCCCATTAACAAGTAAGTTAATGACTTAAAAGTCTCGTAGAAATGTTGTCATGACCGTAGGAAAAGAGATTTTTAAAAAAAAATTCAGGCAAAGAAACCACATTTATTTCAACCAATTTAATTCCAGGAACAACCTATTAGCTTCTGCAGTAGCTAATAGGTCTGATTCTCTCTCTGAAACCTGGAACTATGTCACTGTGTACTATGGTTGATCTAATTTGTTAGCTTTTGAGGAAAATCATTTAAATGATCGTTTTGTAATGTGTTGTACAGTTAAAGTTTAGAATCAAGCATTGACATATTGGTTTTGAAGGTGAGGAGGTGTTTGGAATGGAGAGCAGTAACCGACAATGCAATGAACTGCCCAGAAGGCATTGAAAATTTAAACTGTACATTGAAAAATGGAGCTCGGTCATAGTGGCCATTTATTTCCTTCAGGAATGCAAATTCTTTTTATTCCATGTTTTTCGGAATGGATTTAATCATGGGTTAGTATCTAATTATCCTGAAACTCATAGCTGTCGATTTAATTTATACCTTTTCAACCAATGCAGCCTTTTAACCTAAATCTGTGAGGCAGTAAAAATCTAATGAGGTTTCGGGATGTGGCTGATCTGCTTCAGTAAGTAAATTCGGAGCCATGTGTTTAGGACAGGGAATACATGTTTTGATTTTGCTGATATCACAAGCTGTTTTCTCATAGCTAATTAAATGATTGCAGTGTTAAAATGCAGTGACTAAGGGTGGTGTGGGAGTGTGGCAAACGTGAGCATTAATGTTTTGCCTCGTGTTGTGGGGGGAAATCGGATATGAGAGGTCCTGGGGGCAGGCGGTAAGGAGACAGGTGATGAATGGAAATACCAACAGAGCAAGATTTGGAGTTGAAGTACAGATCAGCCATGATAGAATGGCGGAACAGGCTCGAGGGGCTGAATGGCCTGTTCCTAAGAAAAATTCCAAAAGGTTAGTGCAGGCTGACTAGTAACTGTGACTAGTAACTCTCCACTCTGAGCCCAGGCTGGGGACAGCAGAAAGACCACAAACCACATTCTGCTCTGTTCCTCGTGAACCAAAAGGAAATCATTTATTTATCTTATTCATTTGTTTGTTTGTTTGTTTATTAATTAATTACCAATTTAAACAGATAAACAATACAATCGTCATTATCTTGATGAGAACTAACTTTATGTATATAAGGGCCAAGAGTTCATTCACGATGCAAAAGCACGACTGGGGAAAACAATATCAATGAGAGTAGGGCCTAACATTGATTTATTACTGATGTCTGCAGTGTATTAAAAATACCGTACACTTCTTCAGGATGGTTTTAATCTGCGTACTTCTAAGTATAAAACTGTGACTAAGAAAGGTAAATGTGTCTTGGAATGTAAAACAAGTTTTAAAAGTTAAGCTTTTAACTTTTCTTAGCTAGCGCCACAACATCATTGACCCTGATGTAGATGTAGCATCCTGTAGTGTGGTCCATTCCACAGTTCTGCATCTTGTGGCAGTGGGTAAAGATTAATAAGATAAATATTGGTATTCTTGCCAGCATTGCAGTTCAGTGATTGAATAAGCAGAAGTAAACAGGATACAAAATAACTAATGACTAATACAAAATAAAGCAGGTTCCACCACTAGTTATCGGGTTCCTGGATTCTCTGTCAACCATTGCTTAATAGTTAGCCTAAACACAAGATGCCATATTGGCCTGACCTGTGATTACAGCCACACTGGCTGACCTGTGATTACGAGCTGATGATTCAGTGGAAACGAGTGGAGGAACCACAACTCGTTCTTACATAGGCTGAGCATCGTGTTTACAATCGCATTCCTGGTTTTAATGGGAGAGAAAATATTGATGTTCACCTCCCTCCTCCACAGCTGATTTATCTGACTAATGAAATGGAGCTATTTTAACACTCGCCTGCTTTATGTTTCTGTGTGGAAACATTGGGTTTCCTTTTATTTGTAACAAAACAGGAAGAAATCGGATGTTGTTGTAAATACTTAATTACGATGTGTGCTGCTAAGACGTTTCAGCTAGTCCCACACGGCTTGGGTTTGACTCCTCCAGACATTGTAACAACATGACCTGTTATCATTCAGGACCAGTCGGTGGCGCAGGGACCAGTCGGTGGCGCAGGGACCAGTCTGTAACACACTGTTCTGGTTGTTTACAGAGCCGGCTCAATTATGTAAAGCGGAGCAACGGCCATCAACCCTGGCAGTGGGAGCTGCAGTTAATCCAATGGGAAACCACCAAACACCGACTCCCAACAGCACAGGTCTGTCCAACATGTTTTCTCCTAATTGTGCGTTTGGTGTCGCATGGATTTCAGTGTTTGGTCTTATTGATCCACAGCTTCTTTGACTTTTAACAAGCATTTGGAAGTGCTCTTGTTAGAGCGAGCTTTGTGTCGTCGTGTAGCTCTTAATTTATTTGTGGCAATAAGTAGAATCAGTAGTGGATGGTAGAGTAGCAATTTATCTCACAAATGATTAAGACCTGATACTTGGGCATCGTGTGGGAGGTTCAATTTCTGCTGCTAGCTCTGTGTGCTGGGAGCTGCTGAGCCTCTCTACACGGTAAGGGACAGAGACATGACATAATTCACTGCAATTCCTCCATCCTGAGTCTTGTTTGACCCTCAACTATCCTTTCTACCCCACATCTGCGCATGACCCACTCTGCCTTTTCCCACCTCCGCAACATCGCCACTGTCTCACACTGAGACCCTCATACACGCTTTCATTACAACGAGGCTCGACTTTGCAAACACCTTGCTTGTCGGCCTCCCCAACTCCTCCCTCCATAGGCTACAGATCATCCAGAACTAACTCTGCAGCCCGCACCAGGCTCTGTGACCCATCACCCCCATCCTCACCCGACTCCACTGGCTTCCCATTAGACAGAGGATACAGTTCAAGATCCTGGTCCTCACCTTCAAAGCCCTCCACGGTCTTGCTCCCCTCTATCTCTGCGACCTCCTAACCCCTTACCATCCTGCTCGCACCCTCTGCTCAGCGGGCTCTGGCCTGCTTCACCCCCCACCCCGCCTTGCTCGCCCCACTATTGGCAGGCGGCCCTTCTGCCTCTCTGCTTTGCTGTGTGCTCAGCTATAAGGAACACACTAGCTTGCACAGACAAAAAACGTTGTTCTAAGGAATTGAAATCTGTTTTTACTAAAAGTGTTTGTTAAGGGTAAACTTTTAACCTTTTGTATTTTAATTTTATGGGCCTAGAAACCTTTACCTATTGCTGGTGAAGTAAATATAAGATGTCATGGCATTATGATTGCTTTCCCATCCCAAGTACGTAATGCTGTCATATCTTCATTAACAGTTTGTTTGGCCTAACTGAACTGTGACTCAGGATTTCTTCTATGCAGTGACTGGCGAGTTTAGCAGATTATTCTAGTTCTTCTTTACCACTTGTCAATGAAATAATCCTAACTACTTTTATTACTTACTTACCTGTTGGTAGCGATGGTAATTGTGGCAGAATTACAACAACAACTTGCACTTATATTGAGGCACTTTCCAGGACCTTGGGACGTCCTCCCGACGTGAAAGGCATTTTACAAATGTAACTTTGTTGTTGTTGTTATATAGTGCCCTCCACGCAGGGTAACGTTTCAGAGCGCTTAACAGTAGTGGAGCCTGACTGTAACATTTAGTGGGTAAGATTGTCGGTCCTGAGGTTCCTCCTTTGGGGGGGAGTGTTGGCGGCATCTGCTTGGAGCTGAGCTGGCTCCAAGATTTGTGTGGCTGGCATCGGAATATCCAACTGAGTCAATCCTTTGTGATCATCTCGCTAATCCAGTTTGTGAGCCGGGTGGGTCTGCACTACACCAAGGCATTATTGATCGACCAACCAGCCTGCTTGATCGGTAGGACTTGGAGGGACAGACCAGTCACTGGGAACAGAGATTCTTACCTCCCTGCTCCTGTTAACCCTGAAACCCAAACCCTATTTGGCAGGTAGTCTAAACTGGATAAGTAGCACAAAGCTTACCAGATAGTGTTCTCAATGGCATTATGTAATAATAATAATAATTCTTGCATTTGACATAGCGCTTTTCACGTCTTCTGGACATCTCAAAGCGCTTCAATTTGGTTGAGCTGGTTAAACTCCCAGCCTATTTTCTAGGGTCTTGTGCTAACTTGTGCCTAATACTTTCTGGAATTAGGTAAGCAGGGAGAGAGTGTGTATTCTATTTCCCTTTTTCCAAAAGAGTGTGAAATATCCTGAGTAGAAGGCATATATTTGTGGATCTCCGGTTTGGGATACTGTTAAACATGGCAGTAGGTTTCCGCATGTGTATGATAAAAAATTGTGCACAATTGACTGCTGCGTTTCACCTACAAAATATACAATTCACTTTGCAGTATATTCTGTGTAAGTGCTTTGAGATGTCTCGAAGACGTGATAAGGTGCTATATCAAATGCAAGGATTATTATTAACACAGGCTTCAGGATAGCGTTCAGGAGAAGGAAACGGTGGCTGATTTACTGTTTCCCTGAGGCCAAGATCAGCTCCCTGAGATCAGCTCACTCCTGACTAACTCCTGATCGACACCCTGTGATTTTGCTGAGCAGCGTCTTTAACCACAGACATCAGGTTAAAAGTATTTTCACTTAATTGATGGTATAATAAGATGCCTACCCCATTAAAGCTGAATTTTGTACCAAGAGAAAGCAATATTTACTTTTTAATCCTTTCTTTGTTCACATATGGGAATGTGAACTCGAATTCAAGATCCTCACCCTTACCTACAAGGCCATTCATGGCCTTGCTCCCTCCTACCTCTCCGACCTACTATCCCCCTACCTACCTGCCCGTACCCTCCGTTCCTCTGGCTCCGGTCTGCTCCACATCCCCCGCCCCAACCGCCCTACCATCGGTGGCCGGGCCTTCAGCCTCTCAGCCCCGAGGCTCTGGAACTCTATCCCCCAGTGCCTTCGCCGCTTCCTCCCTTTCCTCCTTCAAGGCCGGTCTCAAGACCTTTCTCTTTGACCTTCAGCCTTCAGCTCCCTTCTCGACTCTCTACCCCCTCCTCGCTCCCTCCCTTCCCTCCCCTCACCCTGACCATTTCCCCCCAATGCTCGGGTCCTGACCCAACTGTACAGCGCCTTGGGACGTCCTCCCGACGTGAAAGGCGCTCAATAAATGGAATCTTGTTGTTGTTGTTGTACCTAATAAAGCAGGTTTGTTTCTCAAGCTGTGTCTGTTTTGTTCATTAGGAAGTGGACAGTCAGCACCCAGCAGCAGTGTCACCTCCCCCAGCCACATCAACCTCTCTCCCAACACAGTCCCCGATTTCTCCTATTCCAGCAGTGAGGATGAGTTCTACGACGCTGATGAGTTCTACCAGAGTAGTTCATCTCCAAAGCGCTGCCTAGAGTGAGTACTTGATACACAGTTTATTCAGGAACGCTTGAATGAGTCTACAAAAAACAAACAATAGTAAATTGGTCACTTCAATCCACGACTGTTTGTGGGACGCTGCTGTGCGCAATTGGCTGCCACGTTTTGCCCACAAATATACAATCAATTCACTTTACAGTATATTCTGTGAAGCGCTTTGAGACGTTTAGAAGACGTGAAAATCGCTGTATCAAATGCGAGGATTATTATTATTACAAAGGGAAATAAAATGTGTTTTCTTTAAGTCATTCCGTCTTATACAAAATTACACAGAACCTTACAGCACAGAAACTGGGCATGTGACCTCTGTTCCCTTCTCCCTCCTGTCTCCACTGTATTACTAGATAGATGTACATATAGATATGGAGCAACTATTGTGTTATCTATTTTACTGCATTAAGAATTGAAAATTCACTGCAAATAATAGACTTGTTTAAACAAAGAAATTATAATTTAGAAGTACATTTAATGGTAATAAAATGACAGCAGCATTGCTTTAAGCAAATTTCTAAATGCTGAATTATATGGTGATAATAAACTCAGAATTTGAGTGGTGAAGGATTTGTAAATATTGAATCTTGGCAGTGTGTCAGGGCAGCAGCATGTCCCCCTGTCTGCTCTCACCCTGGTGTCACATTCTTCTATTTCTATTGACATCAATAAAATAGCTTTTCTTTATAAGTAGATGAGTCATTAGCACGCATCCTTTGCTTCAGATTGATCAAAAGCAAACATTTCTTGTTGGAGTGGACATTGATCTGTTGGTGCTTTGATATTCCTCCCGTTCCTGAGCCGTGTCTGGGGTTGGGTAGAACAATCTCAAGGTTGTCCTGGGAGCTGCCATTGCTGGAGTCTGATTTCCCTCCAAATGCTTTTTAGCCAGAGCTGGCACTTGTCCTCAGGAGGAAGGAAGGGAGAAAAACAGACAAAATGAGAAGCTATTTTTGGTAAAAGCAAGGGAAAGATAACTTTAATAAATCAGTAAAGAATACAGTGCTTCAGCATTACTAGTGCTCTGTGACTGCCACCATTTTTACTGGTAGTTTTGTTTCTCAAAAAACAAGCCATGATTGTTTTTGCCGGTTGAACTCCAGTAGTTCCTCCAATACACATTCTGGGGCCCCCTAAACCTTGGCTTTTGCTAACCTGCCCCTAATTTTGTGGAATCGGGTAAACAGGATGCACCCCCCAGAGAGCGAGAGAGAGAGAGCTCATTTCACACTCACTGCAGTGGCTTCAGATTGCTGGCGGCTCCTCATTTGCTAAACTGTCTGACTTTGGGGGTCTTCATGCTGCTGCGGATGTCACTTGCTGTACGTGCCCAGTGATCTCAGTGGCAACTTGATGACAAGTTATTTGTGGAAAATTTAAACACCAATTTTTGACATCACCGTGGTGTTAACAGGAGTATAAGCGGCAACAAGGTGACCCAGAGGTTGGCCTATTTATTAGGTGTGAAAAGCCAGGGGTTTGTATACACAAAATGCCACCTGTGTCTGGTGAAGGTGTTATAACAGAGCTCTACTGTCTCTTGCACAATCATCATTTTTTATATGTGAACACTTTCATGAGCTGTGAAACACACTACTTATTTATTTATTACCAGCTCAAGAATCAAGTCAAAATGGAATATCTCTTATCTGCTCCCTCCCTTCTCATGGAAGCTACATATATTGTAAATAGATAATTGGTGAAGTTGCTCTCTAATCTGATTGAGAGATTATGAACTGTTAAATCTCTATTCTCATCATTTTATGATGCCTGAATACCTTGAGTAGATAATCTTTGTAATTACTTCCTGCTATGCTGGGTTTAAATAACTATTCTAATCATAACCCACAATGACAAACCCAGTCAAACTCTAACCATTGGTATTAACACACCTGGAATTTTCTTACGAACGACAATACAACAAAGTCACATTGTGGGTTTAAAGTTCAATTTTTAAAAAAAAATTCAGATGACCTGTCAAACACAATAGGGAACTTTAATGCTTTGTGAGACACAAGTGAATACTTTCCTCTCTGTTCCTGATGTCATCTTAAAGAGTTTCTAAGTGCATGACAGCTTCAGGCAGAGTGAGTTTGGCTAGCGGCTCTGCTGTCAGACCTGAGTGATCAAGGCGATGCACACATCAAATACAGGATCTTTAAGCGAAAGCACTTTGTTTAAAAATAGTATTAAAAACAGCCAATTTTATCTCAAGTGGGAGAATAATCAAAACAAAGGTTTTTTCCATTACAAACCCCGACCCGCTTAAAGGTGGAAACTCCTGCTGAGGTTCAGCTCCTTAGCAATGGGCCTTGGCCTTCTCTTGGATTCTCTTGGCCAAATGATTTTCCTCTCCCCGACTTTAACATTAAAATGATGATTGTTCCTTTTTCTGCAGCTCAACATCTCCAGTGGTGATCACACACAGCAATACTGGCAGCGGCCTCAAGCGCCCAGACACAACAGAATCGTTGAATTCTTCCATGTCCAATGGGACAAATGATGCAGGTGATTTTCCACTGAACTTGCTCTATTACGTGGAGACTAAAAATCATTGATTGAATCCCTTAATACTAATAATGATCCATCACATAAGCTACTTCTATGCCTGTGGTCAGTATTTTACAGCATCTTTGAAAGCCTGAGAGCATAAAACTACAGTAGACTTAACAAACATCAAATCAAACTATTGATTAAAGGGAAAAAGTGAGTTGCTGACACCCACCAAATGGTTTATTGATTAACTGGAGTTCGAGGTTAGGCAAAGGTGGAGATGATCAACTTAGTTCCTGGGCGCAGTGGTTGGTTCCTGTGTTGGCTGTGGGTGGACAGTGGGTTTGGAGCTTCTGGATCTTTGCCATTTGGATCAAGGAATATCTATTCCGAACTTTCCTTTAGGGATTTATACAAGTAGGCTGGGGTGAAATCAATGACAAAATGAACCAAACATTGTGTGGGGATGAAATAAACCAGCCAATATTTTAAGAGCAGTTTCAGGACTGCTAACGGCTACAATAATAATTACAAAAATAAACTTGACAAAAGGGGTCACCTATTTCAGACAGTATCACAGTTCAGTGGCTAGTTCCTATTAGTATTTGTATCTTTGTTTTTGTATTTGTAATTTGTTGTTGTTTTACCTCCATCGCCAAATGTTGGTCTCTAGCTTACAGCCAACATTTTAAATAATTTTGAGATGTCCTCCCGATATGAAAAGTGCCATGTAAATTATATTTGTATTTTGAATGCAGGATATTGAAGTAATAAATAGATTGATTTACTTCTTCCCCCATCTTCCGATTAACGAGATGAGGTTTGCTGTGGCAGCTAAATATTTACAGTGAAACATGTAAGCAATCACTGTCAGATTTATTATTTCATGTGGCGACTGAATCAACCAGCTGAGGACAATATTGTGTGACAGAACACAAGAAGATGCTGCAACCACAGTGTTTAAAGGACAGAAGATTTGTAGTATCTGGATCTCAGTACTAATTAATTTATCATGTGCCCACAGATGAATAGTGTTCCACTTATTGAACAACTGTTACTGCTTTGGAAATAGCACTACTAATCTTTGTTGCCATATGTTCTCGCGTCCACTGGTCTATCTGAATAAAATACATAAGAAAAATAACGGAGTTTCTGCTCTCATGTGAATTATACAGCTGTGCTTGATTTCCAAGGGATTTTAGTAAACAATATGACATTTGATTATGTCTCTGTGGATATCAATGCACCATTGGCTCCTCCAAAATCAAGATGTGGAGTCCTGTAGCTCAGTGGTTAGAGCACTCGCTTTACAAGTGAGAGACCTGAGTTCAATTCCAGGCAGAGGGCGAAACCTTGGGCAAGTTTCCTTACTCCACACAGAGCTTAATAATAATCCCTCCAAAACCAAAAACAATAATAAATTGGTCATTTTCAATCTACGACTGTTTGTGGGACATTGCTGTGCGCAATTGGCTGCCGCGTTCGCCCACAAATATACAGTCAATTCACTTTACAGTGTGTTCTGTGAAGTGCTTTGGGACGTCCTTCCGACGTGAAAAGCACTATATCAAATGCAAGGATTATTATTATTATTATTATATAACATCCACTTTGAAGTCGACTCTTAATAGAGATAAAAGTTAATTATTTAGAGGAACTAGATTTCTGTGATGGCCTTTATGTACTGTGTTAAATATCAGGTTTGGGGTGTCCTGTTTTCCATGACTTCATAGCGGATGTCATTTTATCTTTCTAAAAGGCCATCAAAGCTTATCAGAATTTTCAAACAAAACTATTCAGTAGAAAAGGGAGAGAGCAATGATGTGCTGCCTGTGCTCTTCATAGTTGTTTATGTCCCCCTGGGCAAGCACATAAACAGCAGCCTCTTCCACTTCACTTCCCCGGCTCAATGAAATGGCTGCCAGAGGATCTTGATGTATCTGAGATGCCTCAGTGCAGAGTCTGATCTCTGAACCTGTGACTGGCTCTGGTGACGGGCGTCTTTCTATCTCATGGTGGAGTGTGATCTATCATAGCCATCCAAGGGTTGCGTAAATATAGGAATCATAATGTTCCTAAAGGAAAGTAGTGTTTACACTCTGCTAAATAGTATAATGTACAAGTACAGTCTGTAAAAAAAAATCCTTCAGTGTGTATTTCTTGTTCTACAGACAAAGTGTCAGAGTCTTATGCCCAGCAGCTGATATGCCCAGCAAATATCTCCCATGTCCTTGATCAGTCTGTGAGGAAGCGCATTTAAACAATATTGGAAGAGACACCTTTGCGATTCCCAGTCAGCTCTGATATTCACACTCGTGTTAGCTCAATGACAACTCCTGAAGTTGAAACTGACAGATTAACTTTCAAATTAACTCTGGCTTTTCACAAAGCTATTTTGCTTGTGTGTGCTGTGTGTATATGTTAGATATGTATGCTATATGTATTCTAATACTTAGGGAATGAATTGCTGCATCCAGTAGGTGGAGGGGACAGTGGAATTGTCCAGTTTCATTGTACCACAAGTAGCAATGGCCATTGCCTATTCAGCCTGTCTACGTGCAAAGTTGTAGGTCCTTTTTGAGTCTATATGGCTAAGTTGACATGAGATAGCAGTATTAGGGATTTGTCATGAATCTATCAAATATGTTTTGAAGTACTTTGTGATGACCTCCTGAGTAAAAGGTGATATAACCTGATATTTTAACAACATTGCATTTGCCCTATCGTTGTTGTTCAATTACTAGAATTCTGCTGTACATAAAGTTCAAGCACTATAGTCTCACCTTCCGCACAGGCTTGCTAAATGCTGATTGTCATCCCCAGACTTATTTGACACACATGATGACCGAGATGATGATGGTGAAGGAGAATCTGTCGAAGAACACAAGAGTGTTATCATGCATTTGCTGTCTCAGGTGCGACTGGGTATGGACCTGACCAAGGTGAGCCACGAGGAGACCACGATGGTAAAGTAACCGTCTGAACTATATTATGTTGTTGAACTCGTCATTAAACATTGCACCTGAACTTTAAACAGAACAGTTAATGAGGAGGCACTTGACTTTGATCAAGTCCTTGACACTGCAGCACAGCTAAAATGGTGTGTAAAAACAGCACATGACCTTACCCCCCCTCTCTCTCTCTCTCGCCCCCCTTCCCGGATGACGACACTCTGGTCCTTTAAATAATCGTGGAACCTTTTGATCATTTCAGTGGGGCCATCGGAATTTCATTTTTTTTTAAAAAATGTCATTTTATACTGCTTCATCTAAGCAGTGGTGTATTGTCAACGTGCAATACATAAATTGAGATTTTGAAACCTAAATGTCTGATAGTGTTGTTGTAGACTGTATCCAATCAAAAAACCTATTGTGTAATGGTACAATATATCCACTTTCTTTCTAAAAGCATACTCTTGCTGTTATACTCTTAACATTGCATTTTATTGAGTATTGCAATTAATTATTATTAACATTAAAAGATCTATCTGCCAAGATCTGATTAACAGGCGAAGTGAGCTGAATGGCCTTCTCTTCGGTCCTCCTGTGCTCTCTATTACAGAACCATGTTGACTTTGTTTTACTAAAGCTCTCAAGACAGATTGTTGACTTGTTAATGTAATTCTAACTCTTTTGTAGGTTGTTCTTCCCACTTTTATCTTGGAGAGACGGTCCTTATTGGAGATGTATGCAGACTTTTTTGCACATCCGGACTTGTTTGTCAGGTAAATGATTTTCCTTTTTCCACGTGGAAAGGACGGCAGCTGTTTCACTGGGAGCAATTAGTGTGCGTGGACAGATGGACTTTATTAAACTTAGATCTGTTCTCAATAATTCTGCGCTAAAGGCTTAAGAATCTGATTGCAGTATGGTGAACAGTCGTAATTATGTTCTCCCTTTCACACAAAGCTGTGAATTCTGTCTTCATTGACTTCAATGTAAACTTCTTTCTTGCAGCTTCTTGAGTCGCTTGGCCTTGTTATCAGTTGATCAGCAAGGCTAGTGGGTCAGTGATTTCCACAGATATTCAGTCCATTCCCTCAGTTTACTGCGATTCTCAAGGCCAGTTAACACGGAGCTACACCGAAGGAACGTTTGATGTGCTTCTTCACAGAAAGTATAGCAAAATCCAAATCCGACTGAAACCAGTCATTCATGCAGTTTTCCTAATTCTCTGCTGCAGAGAAGGTTTGGCAGAGAGAGGTCGTGGAGCAGTTTGTGTCATTCACTCTGGGGCTACTTTGCTGTCGGTGATTATTTTACTGTTAAATTGACTTGAAATATTCTTTACTATGTTTTTTCACTCAGTATCGTAGATCATTCTGACCCTAAAGATCGAATGGTACAAGTTGTCAAATGGTATCTGTCAGCCTTCCACGCTGGTCGGAAGGGATCTGTGGCAAAAAAACCTTACAATCCAATCCTAGGGGAGATTTTCAAGTGTCACTGGGCTTTGCCTGAGGGTGAAGTTGAAGAGAACACGGTGAGTGTTTCTGCTCGATGCAGAATATCATTTCTCAGCTTTTCTCTTTATTTCAAGTAACATTAAAGTCACGCAATCTTTTTGTTTTTTACACTTTGCCCACAGTTGGCTAACTGTGGAGTTGAATGTTGGACATGAGTCAGCGTTTCCCTGGTGCTTTCGTGTCTAGACTGAGAGGAAGAATGTAGGATGTTCTGAAGTGACCCCTCCCACCCCTTACTTTACAGTGGGGAGGGGGCTCGGATGTTGGGGAAGCAGAGTTTTAGGCTGTGTTTTGTTGCATTCTTGCTGATGTTTAGTTTCCCATTCCCATGACATTTACACAATACAAGTTACATTTACACAGAACCTTTCATGTTGGAAAGATGTTCTAAGGAGCTGGACAGTCAGGGATTTGGACCCAAGCTGGGGATTGGGATCAGGGGGGATGGAGGGTCGGGGTAGGGGAGTGGCCAAAGGTGCGGTCAAAGAGGAGGGTCTTGAGATGTGCCTTGAAGGATGTGAGGGAGGGAGCAAGATGAAGGACCTGGGATAGAGTTCCAAAGGTTGGGGACAGAGAGGCTGAAGGCCTGACCGCCGATAGTGGGCCGGGCAGGCAACATGGAGCAGGCCGGAGCCTGCTGAACGGAGGGAACGGACAGGTTGATATGGCGTTAGCAGGTCGGAGAGGTAGGAAGGAGCATGGCCTTGAAGGAGAGAACGAGGATTTTGAACTGTATTCTCTGTGTGATGGGAAGCCAATGGAATAAGGCAAGGATGGGGGTAATAGGCTCATGGAGCCTGGTGCGGGAGAGGACACGAGCTGCAGAGTTCTGAATGATCTGCAGCTGGTGTAGCATCCTAAGCACTCCGGGATGCTACCCCGCATGAAGGGTGCTATGTAAATGCAAGTTGTTGTTGAAGAGGGAAGAGTTGGGAAGGCCAACAAGTTGGGAATTGGCGTAGTCAAGCCTAGATATAACAATCCTAATTACCTCTGGAACAAGAGTATCTGACTTTGGAGGGGGTGGTGGAGACATCTCATCAGACTCCATATTCAGAAACACGTCCCCACCCCCATCACCGCCCTGACCCCCAACAACCCCACCACCAACCACACCACCACCACTCGGGCAGCTCTGTTCCACCCTATGGAAAGCTTGTGTTTAGCACCAAATCTGCTCTGCTTTTGCGGTAGTCCTTAGTGGGTGAATATTTTTGATCGATGCTCACTAATAAATATGAAATTAATGAATTTTGTGTCCAAAGGATTCAGGTACACATTCATTGTCGTTGCTGTTGCCATTGTTTTAGAATAAAAATTGACGGAGAAGATAGACCTAAAAGGAGGTAATTGGCTGCTGTCCCAAAAGCTAAAGGTTTAGCTCTGCGTTGAACTGACTCTTTTGCACTAAATTTGGTCTTGTATCTGTCTTTGGTTTCCTTGCCATTTGGATAGATTCAAGATCGGTTCTATCCTCAGGGTATGAGTTAGTGCTTTCCCACGCCAAACAATAATGCATTAGTCACATAGTTTCCAGCTGTTTCCAGCAGCCGTCCTGTAGCTGAGTATCATTTGCTGGCTGGCTTTCCATCATTGATGAGGGTAAATCTGATCATTGGCAATTCCATCAAATTATAGCTATGGAGAAAATGTCTGCAGTGTCCTTTACATTGTGTTCCAGTCTTTCAAGCTAACATTGTTTCTCCAAGAACATGGGTAGTTGCAATCAAGTCAACAGGGCCCTGAAAACCTTAATTTGGTGCAGAGGATGTGAAGCAGATGCTCTCAGCTGAGGTCAGCCAGGAATCAGGAGCTTCTTCACTGGAGCTCATTCACATTGCTCAGCATTAATCGAGGCGATAGTAATTAACCCAAAATGTGCCATTGAGAAATATTTGGTAAAATCACATGGTCAGATGTCTTTGATGACTTGTTATGCTTCTTAATGTAACCTGCAGATTCCTTCCCACACAGGAGCCTGTTTCTGAAGGACCTATCCCATGGGCTGGCATGAGCAATGTCACATTTGTAGCAGAACAGGTGTCCCATCATCCTCCAAGTAAGTTTAATTATTAATAACAATAATAATTCCTTTCAATTTTATAGACTTTCATCTCAGGAAGACATTTCAAAGTGCGTCATAGGATGTACAGAAGAGTATGTGACTGTATTTTGTAGTTAACTTTAATTTTAAGAACCTCAAGAAATCTCCAACCCTAACATTGTTTAATTCCATTTTTATGTTTTCTCTATATTCCTTAATACGGTACTTTTTCAGCCTTGATTTGTCTCAGTATCTACTCCTCCAGGGATGGTTCACACTATATTCTCCTACATTCTCACAACCCTTTACAGTTCTGCCCTGAACTCACACACAGCGAGCGCTCCTGTGTGTCTGCGCTGGACATTGGTTGACATTTTAAACATGTGCCGAGAGCCTGCCCCAGAGGAAATGGAGCCCGAGATCATGTGTCACCTGAGGCACTAAACTTCCAACCCATTAACAGCTGCTATACTGATTTGCTAACTTTTTATTCCTGTGTTTTATTGCTCAGAAAGGGTTTGAATATTACAATATTCCCTTAAACTGGGAAAAAAGAATACTTTAGAAGGGAGGAAAAATGGCTGTTTTCCTCTACAGATTATTACGGATCTGCATTACGTCCCATCTCCAACCTGCCCTTCCTGGCCAAAGTCCTGGAACACATTGTCGCAGGTCAACTTCGGTCACACCTCTCCCTCCTTGAGCCCCTCCAGTCTGGTTTTCTCCCTGACTGCCCACAGCACAGAGATAGCGCTTGTCAAAGTCACAAATGACATTCTCCCTATCTGTGACCAGGGCTCCCTCTGCCTCCTCGTCCTCCTGGATCTCTCTGCCGCGTTCGACACAGTCTACCGCTCCATCGTCTCTCCTCCCTCATCTACCTTAGTGGGACACCACTCGCATGGTTCGAGTCCTACTTAACCAACTGCCTCCACTTCATCTCAGCAAACAGGTTCTCCTCCCGCCCCCCCGCCCGATCACCTGCGGGGTACCCCAGGGATCCATCCTTGGCCTCTTCTCTTCCTTATCTCTATGTTCCCTCTGGGCGATGTCATCCGCAGACACAGGCTAAACTTCCACATGTTTGCGGATGACACACAAATCTACTTTGCCTCCTCCAGCACCAACTCCAGGTCTCCCCGATGTGCTATCAACTTGTCTGACATCAAGGCCTGGATGAGTGTAAACTTCCTGCAGCTGAATGGACAAGACAGAAGCCATACTCCTCGTCTTCCGTCAACGTCTTCATTTCTGTGGATCTAAACTCTCTTCAACTCCCTGGGCTCTCCCTCAGACTCACCGAACCAGTGCACATTCTAGGCGTCCTGTTCGACCCCCGACTGTGCTTCCTCCCCCACGTCCAGTCCCTGACCAGGACCACCTTCTTCCACCTCCGCCACATTACCCACCTCCAACCGTACCTTACCCCAAATGCTGCTGAAACCCTCGTGCAAGTGTTTGTCACCTCCAACCCCCTCTTCGCTGGTTTCCACAGCTCCACTATTCACAAGATCAGCTTATTCAGATTCTGCCACCCACATACTGATCCCAACCAAACTCCACACCCACGTCTCACCAGCTCTGGTCCCGGCTTCACTGGCTCTCCATCACCGAACAGATCGACTTCCGGATCCTCTCACTCTCGTGTTCAAATCCACCACCCGGCGCCTCCGCTCGACTGGCACCAGCCCCTACTCATCCCTTGCACCCTCCGCCCAACCATCGGATGTAGTGCTTTCAGCCACTACACCCCAAAACTCTGGAACACTCTCCCTCAATCCCTCCGCCTTGCCCCCTCTCGCCTCTTTCAAGTCCCGCCTGAAAACTTTCCTTTTTAACTGTGCTTATGGCCACCTCCCCCCGACTCGGAGTCAGGCTCCGCCACTGTTAAGCGCTCATGCGTGGAGGGCGATGTATAAGTGCAAGTTGTTGTTACACAATCAGAGACTGGTTTCTGTCCATCAGAATTTTAATATGGAGATTTGTTTCATCAGTTGCTGTCTGTTATCTGTTACCCGGCAGTTTAGGTTTATGGCCAGCTACCCCCTCTTCACCACCCTTCCCAAACACTGATTTGTTTGTAGATATTTCCTGGTATCTTTACTCCTATCTTACTGTGTATTGCACTGTGTGCTGTCATTTCTGTGGTTTGATTAATACGGCCATTACACAGTGCCTGCAGGATACATTTCAAAGTAAAACCTTTGCCTTTGATCTTCTGTAACTGCGGGAAACCTTGTTCTGAGGCAGATCGGTTTAAAAACAGCAGGCTGGCCTGTTTCTATCGTGACATGGGATATGTATAGGAAGCGCGACTGACATCACTTCCGAAAGGAAGATGTCGGTGATCTGCTGACCTAGCAGTTGGCAGTTTTTGTTCTTATTTGTAATGTGGGGCCTGAATTGGACCCAGACAAGCACATTATAACAGGCTTGTTCTTTATCTACCATTCTCAACTGAGAAAACAACCAGGCGGCTGTCATTGCTGCCCTGTGACTGGTTTACTCACCCTCTTTTGCTTATTGTCCAGTACAGTTGACAGTTCAGCCCTTTGGGACGTCCTCCCGACGTGAAAGACGCTCTATAAATGTAATTTTGTTGTTGTTGTTGTAGTTATACTCAGATTGGGAATTGAATGTCGAGAACAGACACAGATTACTTTCCTCTCTTGCCCTACTCCTCCCTCGCTCCCCCAACCATCTAATGCAACACATTAGAACTTCAACTCAGTATTGCAGAGGAAAAGGCTGAATATATTCCTTTTGTTTTGTTCATCAACCTGCTCATTATGTGCTAATTTTCTTGTTTTGTTACAGTCTCTGCATTTTATGCTGAATGTTTTGCAAAACGAATCCAGTTTAATGCTCACATTTGGACAAAATCAAAGTTCCTTGGGATGTCTATTGGGGTGCACAATATAGGGCAGGGTAAGTTTCATCACACTGATATCTTTTCTGTAAACAGGATGGTATTGTGAGATACAGACTGAGTGTTTTCATTTCATTTCTCAGGCTGCGTGTCTCTGCTCGACTACGATGAGCATTATATTCTAACTTTTCCAAATGGATATGGAAGGCAAGTTCCGTGTCCTGTTTTATAAACCTGTAATAACTACCAGAACATAGCTTTAAAAAAAAGTTTGTTTAATCTGATAATTGTATCATATATACTTTTTGAATTTATCAAACAGATCTATTCTAACTGTTCCATGGGTGGAACTAGGAGGAGAATGCAACATAACATGTACAAAAACAGGGTACAATGCCACCATTATATTTCACACCAAGCCTTTTTATGGAGGCAAGAAGCACAGGATCACTGCTGAAATCTTGTAGGTTAATTTTCCACGTTATGTGATTATTCTGTTTTTTTTGTATATTATTGTAATTTGCATAGAAATAATTGAATTCTTTTGTTTTTTTTTAGTTCTCCAGCTGACAAGAAGTCCTTCTGCTCGATTGAGGGGGAATGGAACGGAGTAATGTATGCTAAATGGATTACGGGGGTAAGTGGTCAATGTGAAAGGTGTAGCATGCTTTTGAGTCTTGTTGTGGATTGTGCTGCTCTTCTAATAATAATAATAATCCTTGCATTTGATATAGCGCTTTTCACGTCAGGAGGATGTCCCAAAGCGCTTCACAGAACACACTGTAAAGTGAATTGACTGTATATTTGTGGGCGAACGCGGCAGCCAATTGCGCACAGCAATGTCCCACAAACAGTCATGGATTGAAAATGACCAATTTATTATTGGTTTTGTTTTTGGAGGGATTATTATTAGGCTCTGTGTGGAGTAAGGAAACTTGCCCAAGGTTTCGCCTGGAATTGAACTCGGGTCTCTCACTTGCAAAGCGAGTGCTCAACCACTGAGCTACAGGACTCCACGGAGACGAACCATTCCAAATGCAACGTGTCCCTCGCATTTTTGAGATTCCGCTTAACCCTTTGTTCTCTCCACTTTGACCGTCACTTGGTAAACAGGTTTATTGATGTGACAAGGCAGCCTGTTGTTGCCCACTGCATTATACAGTATCAGAACTGTGAGCTGGTGACCATGCTTCTTTGTGGGATAGATGTAAAATAATCTTTGCATTTAATATACTGCCTATAATGATGAAACATATCAAGGCATTTGTGAATTGTGTGGAACATTGGGTGACCTGAGGAGGTGAGTTGGACGTTCAGAAATGCAGGGCAAAGCAGCAGCCAACATGATTGTAATCTAGAATGTGGAAACGTCCTCTCTGCTTTTGTATGAATTAAAGCATTTGAAGTTCCTTAGTTAAAAACTACATGGTTTGCTTTTTATGCAGGAAAGTACCTTATTTGTAGATACAAAGAAATTGCCCAGCATCAAGAAAAAAGTAAGAAAATTGGAAGATCAAGAGGAGTTTGAATCCAGAAGGTAAGTTTGTTGCAGCATATTATGTTTCTTGTCCATTTTCTTCCCTCTCTTGTAGGTTTTGACTCTTCCTGGAATCGAGGCCATATTTTACTTAATGTCCAAGTCCAATCTTCACTAACGATCACTGCATAGGGATACAAACTGCACTCTGCTTCTTCCCAAGGATTCAAAACCCAATTGTAATGCACTCGTGTGTAGAGGTGCTTTGACCATATTTGGTAAACTGTTGGTTCCATGATCAGCAAACTTAGAACTGAAACTAGCAAAGAGAAGAGTAAGTCTCGTACTGTATCTGGCTCTCCACGTTATTAGGTTTACTCTTGCCTATAGCCCAGGGCTTACTGTTACTATTGGCTTGTTTCATAGGGATCAGCACTACACGGTATTTGGTATAAGTTGTCATCCTCCACATGCAAATCTGTCATGTTATTTGACTTAAGACATAATCAGTTGCTCTGCTCTAACGCCCCCTCCCACCTGTAGATTCTGGCCTCGTTCACTCTGTAGCATTCAAGAGTGCCAAACCTTGGCTGACTTCCCCAGTGACAGTGCAGCTAATGCAGTGATAAAGATCAGCTAATGCTATCCCAATCAGGTCAGCTAACTCAATACAACTGAGAATCAAATTGAATATTTACCTGTCTGAAATTATTTAATGGATTTAATGTTAAAAAAAAACCTTCAATTGTCTTTTGTAGTCTTTGGAAGGACGTAACGTACAACTTGAAAATTAAGGACATTGATGCTGCCACAGATGCAAAGCACCGACTTGAAGAAAGACAAAGAGCTGAAGCAAGGGAAAGAAAGGAGAATGAAGTTCAGTGGGAGACCCGGGTATGAGACAACATAAATACTGTCAATTGAAGGATATTCTTATTTAGATTCTATGATTTTAATTAATTTTTTGTTTGGAATTATTATTTTAATTAAAGTATCTAAAAACTGACAAGATGAAATAAACCAGAATAAATGGTAGGAACAGAAAGCAATTGGTTTCTTTGGAGCTTGGCAATTTTTCTTGGGAACAAAGATGCACTGAAAATTTCAGAATTTATGCAGTTTGACAGGTCATTTCTACTGCAGCCTTCAAGCTAAATAAAGCAATAGATGTTTGTAAGGTCAGGGGATCAAGGGATATGGAGTGAGGGCAGGTAATTGGAGTTGAAGTACAGATCAGCCCTGATCTTATAGAATTTCGGAACAGGCTTGAGGGGCTGAATGCTACTCCTGTTTCTATGTTAACATTTCATGCGTTTTCTCTGGATTCTTTCTTCCCCAACTCAATTTTACTTAATATCCATATTTCTGAACTAAAGGGCAACCAACTTAATCTTCAGGGAAACAGAAGAACAACATTTCCTGATATGGATTTGCTGACAGAAACAGTAAATGTATTTATTTCTGAATGTTTAGGTTATTCTTCATTCTCAACATCTTCCACACACCATAGGATTGGCACCGTCTAGATAGAGCCAATGTGGAGAGGATGCTCGCAATTTTGAAGAATTAAGACTAAATAATTTTCCTTTCTTTACTTGCTAGTTTCTAAGATTGCAATTTAGAAATAAATGGTACCGTGTAAAAGTGCCGACATTTCATATAACTTTCTATTCATTTAATTATTTCTTACTTTTTAATTGTTTGAACTAGAAAGGTATTAAAATATGTTGTTTGAACTAGAAAGGTATTAAAAGTGTATTTGATATCCCCTTCCAGGTGTTCCATGAAGATGGTGAATGTTGGGTGTACGACAACCCTCTGCTGAAGAGGTTAGGTTGCAGCAGGTATTAGAATACCACGACTTTGACATGGTAGAACCGACAGCCTTTGACTGAGAATCTTGCTCCCTTTACCTGCGACAGAAAATTTTGTATCAAGATTCTTTAAAAAAGTTTAATAAAACTATAGCTTTCTGGTACCAAGATTGCATTTTGTTGAAAAATGCATCATTCAGGTTTCATCTGGTGATACTTTAAGAGGTTCCTTTCTCAGGGAAAATGGACTTCAAAAAGATGGTTGAATTGTTAACATCTTGCGAGAGTTATAAACAAAGGACTTCCTTTAGTACTGGCTGCAGAATGGCTGTTGTGAATGTTTGCTCCTGCTCTAGAAATAACTTTATGTTAATTGCAGACCTCCAAGTCATCAATACAAGTTCCATCTGCCAAATTTTATGTATACTATAAAACAGTCAAAAAATCAGCCCAAGTAAAAGATCTTGGATGTCGGTACAATTTATTCTAAGTGCACTCTCTTTTTCTCTCTATTGCCATTGTACAGATGTAAAGAATTTGCAGTGCAAAACTAATTTCCTAGAATGTGCTATGCCCTATGTATACCAATGTAGGGCTTTACTAGAGAATCTTTCATTTCTGTCTAAAAACTTTTTCGTAGAGATGTGTACATATATATATATACTTCATTAATTTGGACAGTCTTGTTTTAATGAAATGATGCATAAATGTTATATATAGCAATGGTAAGATGAAAATGAAGCCAATGATTTTGCTTTATAATTTAAAAACACTTTGAGGCCTTCTTATTAATTTGAGTGTCACATGATTAAAGTGTATAGAATTTTATTCCGAGAATGATAGCCAATGGGATGTGGAACATGATTGCAGCTGATTTTCATTCTTATGTTTATTGTAGCAACATCTTAAACCTTCATAAAGTACATTTTGCAAAGATCATATGAATTTGTGGTTCTTGACTATCATTTATAAGTGGAGAACAGTCCCTTGGCCACCTGGAGTAACTTTGCCCACTCCATGGGATTTGGTCAGTTTGTAAGAAAAAGTATTTCTGGGTTTTCACTTGTTGCCCCAGACATTAAGGTTTAGAGCTGTCACAGTAACTGCCTGAAAACAACTGGTTACATAGTTGACAGCACTGGTCTGACACCCAGACCAATGTAAGGGCAGTGCGTTTGCTGGGTTTCCACGGTAAAATTTCTCCAAACCACTAGAATTACCATTTCTTTAGATGGCAGATTTTCCAGGAGTACATTTAGTCTTTCTATCCCCCGCAAAACCACGAAGAGTTATCAACGTTTCTCTATTTGCAACCTTAAGCAATATGAAAACCACTCACAAGATGTGCTGTGTTAACTCCCCCCCACAGTATTTGACCAATCAGTTAGAAGGGTCTAATTCAGAAGGATGGTATCAATTGATTTCAAAACACATTGAAGGCTTTACTTTTCAAACACAAAATAGATATTTGCAAAACTGATCAAAGTTGTGATTTTTAAAAAGGCAGCAATTAAAATATTGATAGCAATGGGAAGGAAGTGGAACTTAGCACCATTTATGTATTGTATCGAATGTAGGCTGCAAAACACATTCTTATTCAGTTTTTAGATCCACATTAATTGAGATGTAATCATTTATATAAAGACAATTTGTCATAATGTATCAGATATATTTATTCTGGTTACAGAACCAGTAATTCATATGTGAAAACAACACCAAGAATCTAGGTGGATAAAAGGATATGCTGAAAGCTCTGGTTGAAGATTAAACTCTAGTTCTGTATTTGCATCAATCTAATCGGAGTATGCTGGCTCCTTGGAGAACACATTAAGATCAATCTCAATTGAAGAACTGAGCTCTGCTAAATGTACAGTTTTATGTATAAGGCCAATAGATGAACATGGCTAGAAAAATTCAATAAACCTCCATCCAACCCACACACATCTACTAAGAACAGGCCCACTGATAACATGGAATATTCACAATAGCTTCACTTTCATGACATGATGGGCCATCACTTTAGCTGCAAAGACAGTACAGCAACACGAAGAGTCAATTGTAACTGCTGCTGCTCTTCCTGGCAATTCTTCATGCAACTCTCAAATTGCATTAACAGAGATGGTTTTAAATATAAAACGCTCATTACAACCTCATCAGCATCCATACATTTACTTGCATTTGTGCTCCAGTGAACTTCAAAGCCTTTCCATCGTTACTGAGTGAGCCGGGAACACAGTCCTCAAAGTTCACTCTTAAATTCGCTAGTTATACTGACATACTTACATTTGGTATACGACCAATTGTCAATCCCAAATCACTAAAAAGCAGGATCTGCTGTTACATGTTCACTGCAGTCTCTAACACACAGCATGAACTTCCTATCACCATTCAAATTTCATTTTAATATTTTGTGGAAGGGGAAGAGATTGAGGGTTTCGGTGAAACTCTGGAAATTGTTAATAGGAAGTGAATTTTCCATCAGTTTGGAAATGGGTAAGAAGGTGAGCTGAGAGACCTCTCCATACAGGGATTCGTTCAAACCTTTGTCGTGATCTTCATATTCATGTTGTCCAAATCCTACTACCTGTGAAACCACAAATGGACAGTAATTAGTGCAAATGTACTCTTCTCCACTCAGGGCTACTTCAATTGTGAAAAGCAAATTTCAATTTGTTCTAATTTTTCTTTACCATCAGCTTCAAGCTCAGAACTCTGGAAGGTGCAAGAAAAACACCGATCCCCTTAAGTGCAAATCACACTGAACCAAGTTTCTGAATGCTTAATTTCTGAACGTTAATAAAAATCCTGCTTCTCCAAATTGGTTTCTGGGATATAAATTAGTTGCACCTAGAGTATGCATTGAGAATTTTAAGCAGTGTCACCTTTCCTAACTGCCATGCTGATGCCCAGCTGAGCACAAAGAGCATTTTGACTTCACTCCTATCAGATACGTCCGAACAGACTTGAAAGCAAATGGAAATGGTTTTGTTTGATCAGCAAATGAAACCAACAAATGAGATCACTAATGCAAAATAAATTTAAAGCTACAGGATAACAGATCTGTAAAATGTAATCACACTTTCTAAATCTAGCACTGTAAACTCCGAGGGATTTATCAAATATCAGATGCCAAAACAAAGAAAGAAACCGATCAAAAATAGCTTGAAAATCATTACATTTCCAGATGGTTCAATGCTTATTTTAAAAAAAAGTATTTTAGCAAGGAATAGAAAGTACAGATTTTTTCCAAAAATTGTGGGTACAATAGCCATGTGCTGCAAAAGAAAATCTTTTAAATACATTTATAATTTTACCTCAATGATTATACTTCATCTCCAATTGAGGTTTCACAAATCAACAACTCGCATTTCTTTGCACCTTTCACACTAGACGTCTCAGAGCGTTTAAAAAAGAATATTTATTGACAGTGCCTTATATCAAGGAAACTCATGTAATTGCACAAAACCACACAATCCTAACTGACTGGTATAAAATAATGAGTTTCACAACCTGGTGGCACTTTTATTGCTGCAAATTTAAAAAATTTCAAAACTGAAATGACGTAGATTGGTTTTAAAGCTGTATATGAACAAGAAGAAAGGATTGGTGTAGCAGCCACATCTGCTTTATATCTAATAACAATAGTATTTTTAAAAAACTTTCTTTTCCTTTTTATGGGGTCTAATTTGCAGGTTGGTTAATCATGGTAAATTTGAGTATTAGGATAACATTTGCATCCTACTGCCCCAGTTTCCACAGAGCCTTTGAAAATATTAGCCAGAGAATCATTAATTTCCTACTACATTAAAACCCTGTATTAATTCATACAAGACTTTAGAGTTTATTAATCAGAGCAATTAGGGCGTCAGCTAAACAGTGAAACCTGGTATAAGCAGATAAACCGAGAACAAACTGAACCCAAACAACCAATTATTTGCAAACCATGATTAAGGCACTCTTAATTTTGCAATTAACATCCAATGAAAAAGAATGAGACACGATTCAATAATTGAGGAGCAATTAATTAAGTTAAATATTAAATAAATTATTTGATATAATAATTATAATCATGAATTATTTACATTTTATATATATATTGTAAAATATTATCCCTCACTGTCCAGCACCTGGGGACATCCTCCCAACATAAAAGGCGCAATATAAATGCAATTTGTTTTTGTGCCTCACCCCACTGCAAAAGCCAAGAGCCACCAATTTGTAATCCAACTTGCAGTTTTAATGAACTACATTAGCATCTGCATAGATTGTAATGTACCCAATCTCACTCATTAACCTGCTGGAGGCATCTTACACTTCAGGTCAGGTTACACTATTTAAACCTTCCACACATATTAGAGCCCTCTTAATTCAATGGCAAGTTGAATTTAGCATGTTTACTTACATGTATGCTAAGCTTTCTGCTATTTTTTCCTCTGTGGGCCTTGAACCATTGCACAAGGTCATTTTTGGTAAACGATTTCAGAGCTTGAATCTGTTAAACAAAACACACCATTGTAAAACAACCAATTATTTAGTTTAGCTAAGGCCGCTCCAAAGTAATAAGTTGTATGTTAATATCAAGCTACCTCATTCCCTTGTACATTTTCCAAAATGACTCATGCACCATAAAGAAAGAGGATTGCAAAGTGCTGGATTGGGATGCAAGATTACAGCCACGAACCCCACCCCAAAGTGACCAGCTAAGTGATAGAAAGGCAGAACCATTAAAACCATTACCATTGCATTAAAACCATACCAAAAAACGTTAAATATCCAAATCAAATATGCATCACTATACACAATCACTTCTGCAATACTTGGGTTTACTGCTACAACAATAAGTGCAACCAATATGGATTCCTCTTTCAAATCACTCCAATATCATAATGGTCTATTATTTTTTCTTCTCCCCGTTTATAAGAAACATGTTGTTCCTTTGCAATGATTCAACCTTCCTCTGTGCAGCACTATCGAGTGAGGTTTAGTGGCTCACCTTCGAGGTTGTACCAGCTGTTCCATATGGAGTACTTATAACAATAAATCCTGGCATTTGATACAGCGCCTTATCACATCTTCGAGACATCTCAAAGCGCTTCACAGAATACACTGTAAAGTGAATTTACTGTATATTTTGTGGGCAAAATCACTTCATGGTGTATTAATAATTCAAACAGGACTGAGAATAGGAATGCTCAATTATTGCATTACTATTTTCACTAAACCATAAAAATTGGTTTCACACCTGACTGATATTTAAAACCAATTGTTTTTCCCTTTATGTTAGTTCTGCCCTCTCACTAAGTCAATTGAAAAAGGTTTTCCCAAAATGCAATACCATACTATTTGTTTAGATTTGCACATCCAGCTAATGTCCTTCCTTTCAGTAATATAATGATTTCTCCTCCACATTTCTTGGGCGTTGCTCTACTGAACTAACAGGAGAAAAGCTAAGTCAATACCACAAGCTTTAACTGCCCTAGGATTGTTGGCCAAAGTTGCTATTTATGCGCAAGCCTAAACAGCAAGACACTATTTGACAGATAACATCAAGACAAACCCATCTTCATCTGTTATTCACTCACCTTTTCCTTTCCCCAGCAGGGCTTACTGGTTAGTAGAAACTCTACTGATTTAGCTTTTCCATTTAATTTTAATTTCTATTCCTAGAAAAGATTGCAAACCAGCTGGCCAGCTTATCACAATTTTCTTGAACTTTAAAAACTTCACATGTGGATCTCTAACAAACATTCTGAAAATCAAATTAAACATCTCAAAACTCATTCATTAGCTTCCTCAGACACAACCCATTCATTCTAAACCTATTCCGACACTTCCTGCTTGTACNTTTTTTTGAAAGCAATCAATAGCATCTCAAAATTCTCAACAATCTCCCCTTAAATAACCTGAGTGCCAGCCTGCCTCAGCTGGCAACACTTTGAACTCTGGGGAGTCAGGTTGTAGGCTGAAGCTCCACATCAGAACTTTTAGTCTGTGCTGATCCACCAAAGCAGTGCTGGGGGAAATTGCTGCACTGTGAGAGGCAACATTCTTTAGATAAGAGTCTCTGATGACCAGACTCATGCCGTATTGTTTGAATATTTGAGTATTGTATAACATTTGTCATCCTATTGCCCCAGTTTCCACAGAGCCCTTGAAAATATTAGCCAGAGAATCATTAATCCCCCACTACATTAAAACCCTGTATTAATTCATACAGGATTTTAGAGCTTATTAGTCAGAGCAATTACGGCTTCAGCTAAAGAGTGAAACCTGGTAGAACCAGATAAACTGAGAACAAACTGAACCCAGAACGAACACTAAAATGAAGAGGCATAATAGAAGGATTTTTAATAAAGTTTTCTCTTTCCCCACTTCCACCAACTGTCAACATCAAATAATTTTCGTTTCTACCTCTGCCCCTTCCCAACTACACCCCAGGATTTATAGATAGGAACAAATTGTCTGGTGGTCCTAACATCTCTGGAATCAATGCTGCAAATTAAAAACAAATCAGTTAATGTTCTTTAATGCTCTATACAGTATTACTAAATCACAGTGACACAGTAAATCTTCACTGAACTCTACAGTATTACTGTCTCAATACCTCATGGTTCAGACGGTCAAAGAGATACTGTTGTGTAAAAATCTCCGCCCAGTTTCTGTCCACTTCTTCTCCTAGATGAATGTCTTCACATTGTTTCAGCTTGATCAGTGCTGTAACCTGTTCAAATTGAAACAGAAAGGAAGCTGTAGTCATTGTTGTGCATGTTCAATTTCAATGGTCAAGTACTGATTGTTTTTCCCCCCCAATCGCACATCAGCTACTGAGGCTGAAGGCCAGCTCTAAAATAAACCTCAGCACAACAATGAACAGAAATCAACAGAAAATCCTGGATATGTTAACTATGGGAGAAAAATACAGCACTAAAAAAAGGGAATTTAAATTGATTATCAATAGCGATAGTGCAGGGGATGGTGAGAGAGCACAGAGGTGAATCTCAAGTGGATAAGAGCACACTAGAAGTTTTGAAAGTCATTGAAATTCTTTGAAATCCCTTCTGAAAGCCAGACAGCATATTTTTTCACCTTGTAATTTTAGCATAATAATTACCTTAACTCTTAACAATGGTCCACAAGACAAATGAGGGGCAACTGAAAAAGTTATTCAATACCACACAGCAATGTCCTTTGAACCACAATAATTAAAGTATCTTACCTGAGAATGGAAGGCATCCTGATTCATATTTTGCAGCCTTTTGTAAAAGCTAAAAAGAAATTCTTCAATCTTCTTGTCAACATATTCCGTACTGTTGAAATTTTAGAACACAATTACCAAAACCAATACTGAATAAAATTTGAATCGTAAAGAACTAAACTTATATTTTTCAAAATGAAGTAGAATGTGACTATGGACAGCAGCAGGAGGATGGAGGAGAAGTAAAACAAGGGAATCAATGTGTGTGAGAGACTGAGAGACACATTGCTTTGGCAGAGGCATGGCGGCTGGTTGTCAGTCAGGAAATTATCACAATCCGTGTTACATGGGACAAAAGGGTACATCACAAGACCTTCAATAAAATATACTTTCTGTCCTATTTCTACACATTTTGCCTTGCTGTCCACTAAACATTCACAATTATTTCCTTCCAGCCACCGCCATACATTCATTCTTTGACCAACTGTCTTTCTATTCCGACTGCTTCTTCACTTACTGACTCGACCCCCAAAAGATCAGCTACCTCTATTCATTCTGTACCTACTTTAATCTTTGTGTGTTTAGAATGAAAACCAAAATAAAAGGAAAACTACAGACACCGAAATGCAATGAGGAAGTAAAAAAAAGATGGTGTGGGGGGGGGGGGAAGATAAAATCCACAAAAATAGTCCACCTTACCTATATTTTGTTGCCTGTGTTTCTACTGTAACAGAGAATCCAACGATTCCAGAGGTATTTCGGCAGGTGGGATACACATTGTACCTGAAATGCAAATACAAATATGTATAAAGAAATACAATATTTTCCTTCATTACCAGACAATATTATCATAAACTGTGTGTTGTGGTGAGTAATATTGGTATGAACCGAAATTTGCTGGTTTTCACACAGCACCGCCAATAGACTAGGAATGTCTTTTTAAATGATTCATGTGACCTGCTGTCAAACAATTAATATGATGCTCTATTTGAGCAGCATTGTTTGATACGCAAATGCTTGCGACAATGCTGAAAAGACCTGATCCCAGCATATATGAAGCCTAGGTAGTCAGTAAGTGCATATGAATATTAGACCTGACAGCTATTAAGGCACTCCTTTGTTAAATAAAATACAAAGTTACATTTGTATAGCACCTTTCAAGTCAGGAGGACTTTCCAAGGCGTTAAAACACCTGAAGCGTTAACTGGGCAGAAATTCAAAAAGATTATAAAAATGCAAACATCTGCATTCATTTTGTACTGTTGTTGCATATTAAAATCAGACAGCAATTTGTTTTCTACTAGGTTTAACTGAAGTCATTTGGTTTCAGATTCTCATTACACAGAAATGCTGGCAATCGTCAAATTTCCAGTTCATCACATTTGATTGTACTTCAGTGTAATCGGGACTCAGATTGGGTCACACCTTTCCCAACATTTTCACATCTTCCCTCCTCACTGAATACTTAGAAAATTCAGGCCTTAGAGGAAAAAAAGTTACTCTCCATGACACTCTGCTCCCCACATGTTTTGGTCCTTATACTTCTCACCATGATTGTTCGCAGTTTCAGAACCAGACAAAAATAAGAATCATTTGGTTGCTGAAATCAAGGAGACTCAATGCTGCTTTACAATCTTGTCAAAGCATGTCAACATTTTTTTCAGATAAAAATAGTCAGGGGAAAGAGCTATTTTGTGTCTCTGGTATTTGGGAGTCAATATTAAATTCAACTCCTGGTTCGCGAACAAAGGCACATTTTATGAACAAACAGCCAGTTTCTTCACCTTTCCCTGCCCAACGAGCTGCCGCAGATTTTCTTGGTGGAAGGGATTGACACCAGCACCGAAACCTACTGTAAACCCATTTCCATAATTCAAATTATATTAAGTTAAATTTGCAGGTTGTGCAAAATTCCCTATCACTATTGCATTAAACTGTAGAATTCAAGGAAGGCACGAAGGCTGTTGACATTTCAACCCTTAGAATGTCAGACACGTCCTTCAGTCTTATCTTTTCATTGATTGCAAAAGTCAGCCTGTGAGGCTGAATTTTGAACCAATGAAAAAGACTTTAACAAGATGCTCACCTTCCAAATTGGATGGTGGTTGCTAGAAGAAAGAAGAGAAAAAAGATAAACAATATCTAGTAAAGATAGAAGTCAGAAAATAGTTTTTTTTTAAAAAAAGGAGACAGAATAGGAAATAAAAGAAATAGGAAAAATGAACAATAGGGCAAATACACAATGTATTTTTTTTTATTTGGCTCAACATTAGGTCAGAAGGTCACATGTTTACCACACCAAGAACCAAATCAAATGCAAGACCTTTCTTCAAGGCAGAATCAGCAGCTCCAAAGATCAAATGAGGCAATGCCTTACTAGACCTCCAAACAAGCTGTGGCCAGAGTTGGGAGAGGTTAACTGGACTGAGGTCAACATAAAGAGGCAAAATACATCTCATTAACTAGAAAGAGAAAAGTATTACCCGAGTGTTTCTTTTGTCCTCAGACAGTCAAAGCAAGGTTCGTCCATGTGCATCTAAAGACCAGCAAGAGAAATATTTCAGTACATCTTGGAAGTGAATGCGGTGTTGCAGTATACAGTTGTAATTTATCCCTAGACACTCATTATATAGTGAATTGCTGATTGCAAATAACTTCCAAGTCTGCCCAAATTGGGTTGGATCCAAAATCCAATTTGGTCAAAATCTATAAAGCGCTGGTCAGCACTTTGGATTTCATGGACCATATGTGCAGAAAGACAGTCAACTCCATCAGCACTTAAACACAAGCTGGTGACCAGGAAACCAAAATGTAAATGTAGGGACTTCCAACAACAGCCTGATAAACCAGAGGATAACCATGTTGGCTTCCTGAGAGTATTTTGAAGCACTCAGCGTATTTTGGATATTTTGTTTCAATAAATGTGGGGATCCACACCCTAACTAACTATATCCTAGTGAACAATAAGAAAAGCTTACACTAAATATTCTCATCCTCTGTTGCCCTCACATTTACACAAAGATGCAAAAGTTGTTTACTCCCAATTCTACTGTCTAAATGTCACTTTATAAATTGGAAGTAAAAGTATAAAACGGCAAGGAAAACGGCAACATGCTTTCATTCAAACTCATTTCCACCTTGGAGACAATTTTACATTTATATAATCTCAAAGAGGTCCTGTGCTGACTTGGGGGAGGGGAGGAAATGGCTTACCACAAGCAGTTCCATAAGTGCATATTCTTTTACGTTCTGAGGACCAGACTGAAAAATAAAAAGCACATAAGAATATTACTTTTAAAAAGGGAAACTTTGAAATGCCAGTGACAAATTTAAGACAAGCCTTAGAATGGTAAAGTTAAAAGAAAACAATCATATAATTAAGTCACACATAAGCTGAAGGATGGACTTTTTTCAATACTAAATAGCTTACCCATGAGTATTGCTATACACTATGTCCAAAGAAAAGAGGGGAATGAGGAAGGGAGAAAGCACAAACCACTTCAGATTGCTCTCTACATTTAGCTTAAGATACATCTGGTAGTCCCTGATGTGTAGTATGGCAGAGAGTACATTACCTGATAGTAAACCGTGACCTCGGAATTGGCATCACCTTTGTTCAGCGATTTCACCTTGCATATGTATGCTTTTTGGGGCAGTTCCACCACTCTGAATTGAACAGGTATGCTCCTCAACAATGGTTTGTAATGCAGCTTCCTGTTACAAACATTAACTGGTTAGTTGCAAGTGCTAAGACCATCAATTTTAATAATAATCCTTGTATTTGATAAAGAGCATTATCAGGTTGAGACGTCTCAAAGCTCTTCACAGGACATACTGTAAAGTGAATTGACTGTATATTTTGTGGTCAAAATGCAGCAGCCAATTGTGCACAGAAGTGTCCCACACACAGTCATGAATTGAGTGACAAATTCCTCTTATATTTTTTTGAAGGCATTAATACCCCTAGAAAACAATCCTTGCTCAACGACTCACAACCGGGTTCCTATTTACTGCTACGTAAACAGATGCGTGTGGAGTAAGGAAACTTGTCCAAGATTTCGCCCTTCCCGGTAATTGAACATGGTTTTAAATGTTGCAAGATACAAGTCTATTTCACACATTCAATGACATTAAACAATCAGTAATAGGAAAAAAGACGATAGTAGCTTTTGCTTACTAAGAGAACATTGTGATATTTAAACACTAATCAGATTTAATGTAATTTGGACAATAGAATTAGGTAATGTTAAATTGAGTTTTATTTATTTTTTATATCCTAGTGTTATAAATATCAGAAAGAAATTAGGTACTTACTGCACAACGTAATTTAGAAATTCAACAGACTCCTTGAGAGGGAAAAAAGTATTAATTAATATTGAAAGTTCATATATTACCAAATACAATTTTAGAATTTGATCATTAAATTGAGTATATTGGGCCAGTTGTAACTGAACATTGCTTAAAAGGGGCAGTCTAGCGGGAGCAATTTCTTTTCAAAGATACAGTGGGGGAAAAAAAATGCATTTATGTTTGTAGTGAGGCAACTTTACTCCCTGGAACCTGATTTATAGGGGAAGCCATCAGTGCCCTACAGCAGCTCGATTTACAGCAAATGGGAGTGAATATTTTGATTACCTGGAAGCCCAGTAGGAACTGAAGTTTGTGAGTGCAAACGCACCACTGCTATTCTTTCCTGAGGTTGGAATCCAATTACCTGGCTAGCCCCCAACGCTGAACAAAATAGAGTGATTCTGGGAGCACATACCCCCAACACATGAGTGAAGTTACTAATCAACAACAACAACAACAAGATTCCATTTATAGAGCGCCTTTCACGTCAGGAGGACGTCCCAAGGCGCTGCACAGTTGGGTCATGACCCGAGCAGGGGGGAAATGGTCAGGTGAGGGGAGGGAAGGGAGGGAGAGAGGAGGGGGAAATGGTCAGGGTGAGGGGAGGGAAGGGAGGGAGCGAGGAGGAGGAAGAGAGTCGAGAGGGGAGCTGAAGGCACGGTCAAAGAGAAAGGTTTTGAGACCGGCCTTGAAGGAGGAAAGGGAGGAAGCGGCGAAGGCACTGGGGGATGGAGTTCCAGAGCCTGGGGCTGAGAGGCTGAAGGCCCGACCACCGATAGTAGGGCGGTTGGGGCGGGGGATGTGGAGCAGACCGGAGCCAGAGGAACGGAGGGTACGGGCAGGTAGGTAGGGGGATAGTAGGATGGAGAGGTAGGAGGGAGCAAGGCCGTGAATGGCCTTGTAGGTGAGGATGAGGATCTTGAAATCAATCCTCTGGGGGATGGGGAGCCAGTGGAGGCGAGCGAGGGTGGGAGTGATGTGATCGCGAAGCCTGGTGCGGGACAGTACACGAGCTGCAGAGTTCTGAATGACCTGCAGTGTGGAGGGAGGGCGGGAAGGCCGGCGAGGAGAGAGTTCCCATAGTCCAGCCTTGAGGTGACAAAGGCGTGAACCAGGGTTTCAGCGGCGTGAGGGGTGAGGTAGTGCCGTAATCTGGCGATATTCCGGAGGTGATGGAAGGCGGTGCCAGTTGTGGTGCGGATGTGAGGGAGAAAGGACAGCTCAGGGTCGAACAAAACGCCGAGGTTCCTGACTGGCTTTGAGAGGTGGAGAGTGCAGCCTTGGATGCTGATGGTGTCAGCGCCTGAGGTGCGGAGGCGCTGACGTGAGCCAATCAGGAGGGCCTCGGTTTTTCGCACGTTGAGCTGAAGAAAGATTGATTAGCCCTTTCATCTTAGATATAAATTTCCAGACTTTAAAAAATTGTAATTAATAATTCATACAAGGATGTTTTGTACATTCCTAATGATAAGACTAAGCAAAATCAAAGGAATGATTGAAATTGAAAACACAATCCATTATATTTTTGGAATAATCTAAATATTTTAAAGTTAATTATAATTTATTTGAAAGTAGAAATGCCTGTTGTCAACGGTGTAAAATCGTTTGAAGTCTTTTAACAATCTTTTTAAGTCAATTGAAAGGTGAAGCACTTACTTTGCTTGTGAAATTTCCTTGCACTAATCCTTCTATAAACAACTCTTGTTTAAATTTCTTCACAAATGATGTTAGTGTCTCGACCGTGGTAGAAGCATTCATTAGAGCTTGGTACTTTTCCATCAAGGACCAGTGTCCATGTTCCAGGATCAACAGACGGATCTCCCTGGAAAAAAAAGTAAAAATTATATACAGAGGCAGGTTTATTGGAATCTGCACTTTATTTGCTATTTGATTTCAGAGGGGAGGAGGGTAGCTCCACATTCTCTCTCCTCTTGAAAGTATTTGATTTTTTACTTCAGTCTCACTGACACCCATCTCCTACAATAGCTTGCCGAGCCTGAGTTGCATTCATGTTTGCATTCCACACTGTATTAGATCCATATATGAAGCCGATACTATATTTACTAAGCATGTAGCTTGAAGGAATAAAATTAATGACAATACAGCTAAAATGTGCTCCTCAAAACCTCCACTCAAAATTCTGTCCAAACCCCAGTAGTCACTTTACAATAAAGACACAAAAAATCTGTGTACAAACTCAAAAGTATTTAATATTGCAATCACATTAGAATCAAATTTATTTCCCCCCTTACTTACTTCCCCAGTTTTTCAGGCTTGATTAAAATATTGAAGTAACTCTTTTTCAGTTGTTCTGTGATCATTGCAAACACTTCTGGCGTCGTCGTAAACTGAGCCAGGTGATCAATAATGAGTTGGAACAGGAGCTGGCAAAACACAAGCAAAATTGAATGTAAATGCCTAACTTATTTCAGTTGTACAAAATCTACAATAGTTTACAGGAAGACATTCAAACAGCATATTCTTTTCAGAAGTTAATGGTTTTTTATATTACATCAAGAATTACTTGAAAAGAATAAAAAACATCCCTATACATCAAATCTAGTTACTTTACATTACTCTCCAGTGTGAAAAGCCTTTTGCTCCCGCCCAGCAGTTCTTTCATAAATCTGCAACCCCCAAAAAACAATGAATTTGACAGTGGGCAACAGCAACACATCTCATTCTCCAGTGCTGAGATCCCTATCCACAAACAGAAGAAGTAAGTGCACAAAAAGACAGGTTAAATTCTAATGATATCAACAACAAAATTACATTTGTAAAGTGCCTTTTACGTCAGGAGGACGTCCCAATGTGCTGAAGAGTCAGGGATCAGGACCCGAGTGTGGGGGCAGGGTTGGGATGAGGGATAGCAGAGGGGGTAGGAGGGGCGGCTGAAGGCACGGTCAAAAAGAAGGGTCTTGAGTCGCGTCATGAAAGAGGCAAGAGAGGGAGCAAGGCGAAGGGATTGTGAGATGGAGTTTCAAAGAGTAGGAGCAGAGAGGCTGAAAGCCCGGCCACCGATGGTAGGGTGGGTCAGACGGGAGACCTGGAGCAGGCTGGAGCCTGCTGAGCGGAGGGTGCGGACAAGTTGATAGGTTCCTAACTGGCTATCATTCTCAATGCGTCAGCTAGACTGCTGAAGTATCACAGGAAGCAACACACCTTTTTGTTCATTTAAAATACAGCTTACAATTTATGGATCTGTACAGCCTACACCTTAGTATTTACCGGAATTTATAGTTCAACGACATAACACAGACAAACACCTACTTACTTCAAGTTTGTGGTTAAACCCTTTCACTTTGATGACGAGTCCATGCTCTTCTGCCAAGAGACTGTATTCCAACTGAGCCACGTCTGCCTCGTATGCAGGTTCGGCCAGGTTGTGGGCCAGAATGTTCACAAATAAATCAAAAAGGACCAGGCTGGGTGGGAAAATAGTTATTACTGTTTGTAAACAGAAATTAAATTACAGCAGATTTATTAAAAGGAACAAAGGTAATGTGGTTATATATTACAGTAAAGAACTAATTGTGGCCACTAGTTCTACTCCCTAAGGGAAAAAAATGGTCTGCTTATTCTTGCATTACCCTATTTCCCTCAGTAATTTAAAAGATTTGGATCATATCGCAGCTCAATCTTTTCTTCAATAAATGTGTTTAGTTCATACTTAATAACCCCAAAGCCACAAAGTCCTGCATGCTTCACTTCATTAATTTGCAAGTCTTCAGCACCATTAGCAGTTTGGTTGCATTACATTCTTATTTCTCTGCTGATTTATATCAACTCTTACTTTTCTGGAGATTCCTGGATGAGAGGAGATATCAAATGGAATCGGATGTAACCTATAAGGGCAAAAAAATGACACAAGTTAGTATTTACCTTTTTCTGTAATATTAATTTCCCTAACTAATAATCAGATGGTTTAAATAAAAATACACCCACAGATTTAAAACTGAAGATGAAGTTAAAAATGTTTTACTAAAATTGTATTACAAGCGGTGCCTGTTGCCCCCTTGTGGCCCAGAGGAAACCTAACAAACAGACACGGTAAAGGCGCTCTACAGCATTGAATTGTAACCTAAACCAGGCATCCTACGTGGGAGTCAGAGAGGCCGGAGTTTGCAGCCTTTGCAAATCTATGTTTCTATGAGGCTGGAATTCTCTCTTCTACTCCCACCCACCCACTCTATAACCAACATTGAAGTGCTCATACCAGAAATCTCTTGTATTAATTTAGTAAATCCAACTTACCTTTTGGAATTTTAAATTTATTATCTTTTTTGTACCACACACAGCCGTACTCTTTACCCAGAACCTTCACTGGATACTCCGTATCAGTGCAATCAGAATTTTTCAATGCAAAATCAGTTGCTGAGAAGAAAAACACCTCATAGTTATCATCAAAAAAATCCTAAATTCAGTTTCTAGTTAAAACTTTAAAAAAAATAAGATTATCATAATTTAACTGCAAACTCAAATATAGAAAACCGTAATCCACAACTTGCCTATAAACTTATTCTCCACTGGCAGATGAAGCTCAGCGTTCAATGTAAAGTCACCTTTCCATATCTCAGCCCACCTTTTGACAACATCTGGGAACAGCAATAGAAAACTTTAGAAAGATCTGGTTTCTTATTAGAACTACTTGAATTATTCTATAAAATCCACAAACAATCCACAGGTCACCCGCGTTCATAACCAATGAAGCATTTTAATCTATTTTTCCAATGAAATAGACAAGCATGCCACATTCTGGGGTCCAACTCCATTATAAAGTAGTGATTTGGATCCATAAAACAAGTCCCATGTAATGAAGCAAATTAAACTGCGATTGCTCGTTAGCACCTCTGGAGTTGGCAAGGAGGTCGCTGACATCAACAAACTTCAAAGTGCCTTTGCGCCGTGCATAGAGAGTGTGTGTGAGAGACTGAGGGGGGGGAGGGGGGGGAGAGAGGGAGAGTGTGTGTAGTCCAGGCCAGAGTGTGTGTGTGTGAGAGAAAGAGAGTGAGAGTGTGTGTGAGAGAGAGGGGCCGCCATCAACATATTCGGTTTCCTAGTGTAAAGCTAAGTTACATTTTATCCAAGCTTATAACTACCTCATCAAATGACTGCAAAGGCGTTCGTTAATTGCAAACATGGTCATGTTAATAATAGTCTTGTTGCACTAACCGAGTAATCAATCAGTCTTTACAAAAAGATCAGGAAATTCAGCACTCCAACAGGAATATTTAACATTTCAGTGAAATCATGGCAAACAGCAAACCAAAACAGCAAGGAGATACTTCTGTACCTATTTCTGAACCAAACTATTTCAGGATGAAACAAATGAAGATTCATTATCTTCTAGTAATATATTTGGAACTCAATGGTTCAACTGAATTGCTTTGTTCCTTTTCACCATATTGTTACTTAGTAAATTTTTAAAAGTACCCGGCTTCAGCAGTACATAGTGAAATCTCACCAGGAAGATTTATATATTACAGATAATTTAACCAACCATCTTATTGTTAGACAACTAATCTGCAGTCTCCAAAGTGTTCTTTTACTGGTCAAACACCTTACCTTCAACACTGTACTGAGTACCAAACCACTGTTCTTTCAGATTACATTGGCCTTCATTATTGGGAGAAAGAAGAATGAGATTAGCTCTCTGTGGTTTGAGATATGAAAGGGCCGTTGCAATCACCTGTGAACAAAGTATAGAAGAGTTGATAGAATTAAAAAAGGACTCTCAGAATACCATCAAAATATACAATTATTCTGCAAAGAAAGTGTAAATGATTTTCTAAGACTGAAGTTCACTGAAAAACAATGTAGATTTCTGAAACTGAATGTTTACATTATTTATTAGTTCTGGTTAGTCATTCTTATTTGATATTGTTAAAGGGAAATCAATCACTAACACTGTTCAAGGGCTAGGCGACAACAACAAATTTAGATTGCAACTTTCACATGGGGAGAACATCCCAAGGCATTGTCCTTTCACTTGGGTTGTCTACAAAAAAAGCATTAGGTACACCTAGTGTGGTATGTGGCAGTACAACAACAACAACTTGGATTTATATAGTGCCCTCCACGCCAGACGGCGTCTCAGAGCGCTTTACAGTAACGGATCCCGGGACCGAGCCAGGGGGAGGGGGGGGGGGGGGGGGGAAGGTGACCAAAGGTCGCGGTCGAAAAGAAAGGTCTTCAGCAGAGACCTGAAAATGGGAAGGGAGGGAGCGAGACGAAGGGAGTGAGGAAGGCAGTTCCAGAGCCTCGTGGCATAGTGGCTGAAGGCACGGCTGCCGAGGGTGGAGCGGAGGACCCGGGGGACGAGGAGGAGGCCAGACCCGGAGGAACGAAGGCAACGGAGAGAGGTTTGAGGAGAGAGGTCAGAGAGGTCGGGGGGTGCAGAGGAGTTCAGGGACTTGAATACAAGGCTGAGGATCTTGAAATCGATCCTCTCTGGGATAGGCAGCCAGTGCAGTCTGGCCAGGACTGGGGTAATCGGGGAGCGGAGTTTCGTGCGGGTGAGAATGCGGGCAGCAGAGTTTTGAATGATTTGGGTTTTATGGATGGTAGTGGATGGGAGACCGGAGAGGAGGGCATTAGAGTAGTCCAGCCAAGATGTGACAACTGCATGGACCAGAGTTTCAGCGGCTTTTGGGGAGAGGTATTGGCGGAGACAGGCGATGCGTCGGAGGTGGAAGAAAGCAGTGCTGGTGAGGGACCGGATGTGGGGGAGGACGGATAATTGTGGGTTGAACCTGACGCCTAGATTGAGTACGGGTTCGGAGAGTTTTAGGAGGAGGTCGGGTAGGTGGAGGAGGTGAGAGCCATGAGATTTTAGACGCTGACGAGAGCCAAAGAGTATGGCTTCTGTCTTGTCAACGTTCAGCTGAAGGGAGTTTGCGCTCATCCAGCCCCTGAGATCTGACAGGCAGCTGACAGAACATCAGGGGACTGGGGGCCACAAAGAGAGGTGGAAAAATAGAGTTGGGTGTCATCTGCATACATGTGAAAGTGTACCCCATGTCTGCGGATGACATCCCCAAGAGGGAGCGTGTAGATCAGAAAAAGGAGGGGGCCAAGGATGGATCCTTGGGGTACCCCACACGTAACCGGGTGAGAGCGGGAGGAGAAGCCGTTTGTGCAGATGTACTGCTGGCGGTTTGTGAGGTAGGACTCGAACCAGGTGAGTGCGGTCCCACTGAGGTGGATGACGGAGGAAAGGCGGTGGAGGAGGATGGCGTGATCGACTGTGTCGAACGTGGCGGAGAGGTCCAGGAGGACAAGGAGGCAGAGGGAGCCCTGGTCACAGATAGAGAGGATGTCGTTTGTGACTTTCACAAGCGCAGTCTCTGTACTACTGAAAACAGCTAAATTATTAGGCGTGTGGAGTAACGAAACTTGCCCAAGGCAGGGCGAAACCTTGGGCAAGTTTCCTTACTCCACACAGAGCCTAATAACAATCCCTTCAAAACAATACAATAATAAATTGGTCATTTTCAATCCATGACTGTTTGTGGGACACTCACTGCTGTGCGTAATTGGCTGCCGCATTTCGCCCACAAATATACGGTCAATTCACTTTACAGTATATTCTGTGAAGCGCTTTGAGACGCCTAGAAGACGTGAAAAGCCCTGTATCAAATGCAAGGATTATTATATTAGTGTAAAATTCAATGGATTAAATGCACTATCTACATTTGCTCTATTTTAGTTTCTGGTTTAACTAAAAACACTACAACTCGTACTAGGATCAAGTGCTTCCAATACATTTAAAGGACATGGTCCTGGATGAGAGCTAACTCTCTTCAGTTGAACATCAACAAGACCGAGGCTCTCCTGATTGGCTCCCGTCAGCGCCTCCTCACCTCAGGCTCTGACAGTATTACCATCCATGGATGCACACTCCACCACGCTAAGCCAATCCGGAACCTTGGGGTCTTGTTTGACCTTCAACTATCCTTTCTACCCCTACATCTGCACCATGGCCCACTCTGCCTTCCTCCACCTCTGCAACATCGCCCGGCTCCACCACTGTCTCACACCACAGGCTGCCGAAACCCTCATACATGCTTTCATTACATCGAGGCTTGTCTACGCAAACTCAATACTTGTCAGCCTCCCCAACTCCTCCCTCCACAGGCTGCAGATCATCCAGAACTAACTCTGCAGCCCGTGTTCTCTCCCGCACCAAGCTCCGTGACCCTATCACTCCCATCCTCGCGCAACTCTACTGGCTTCCCATCACACAGAGGATACAGTTCAAGATCCTGGTCCTCATCTTCAAAGCCCTCCATGGTCTTGCGCTCCCCTACCTCTGCGACCTCCTAACCCTCGACAAACCTGCCCACTCCTTCCACTCAGCGAGCTCCAGCCTGCTTCACGTCCCCCGCCTTGTTGGCTCCACTATTGGCTGGCCTATCTTCAGCCACTCTGCCCCCACTCTCTGGAACTCCATCCCACAGTACCTCCGTCTCGCCCCCTCCCTCGCCACCTGCTAGACCCATCTCAAGACCTGCCTCTTCGACCATGCTTTTGATCTTCCTGCTTCCCCACCCCTGCCCTCCACCCTCCCTGACCCCGACCCTTAGCTCAGGTCCGTAACTCTGTCTGGTCAGCACCTTGAGATGTCCTTCCGACGTGAAAGGCGCTTTACAGATGTAATTTGACAGTTTCAATAAGAGTGTTACAATTTCAGTTTTGAGTCTAACATATGCAAATTACATTGTGAGATTCTGATTACAGGAAAGGATGAATCTTCCTGATAGTTAAGGAGCTGAATTACCTCTGGCTTGTATTCGAATAATAACTGGTTACCAGTGAGAAAATCCTCCTTTTTGTAAAGCTGCATATTTTCACAAATATCTTCCACGTAGTCAATAGGATCAGTCTAAAGAGAACGCAGAAAGGTCAGGAACATAGTTCTGCTGAAATGCTTGGCTGATCAATTCATTCACGAATATGCAGGGAGTAGTTGCCTAAAACACACCTGTTCCTGGTAATGGAAATCATTGTCTTCAATTTTCTGAATCTCTTCATAAATTCTAGAAAAACAAATGATGGACTGTGTTCATTCATTCTTTATTAAAAACAAAGTGAGATTTCTAGGTCTCTCAACAAAACAAGATGTAGCACAAATAAAGCCGTTGCCCAGTTCCAGTATCACAGCAGCTACATTCTAAGCAAAAAAAATCTGGCTTTTGGTTGTTGGGTCGCTTCCCATGTGCTGCACACATACTTCCTTCACGCAATGACACGTTTCCTACACATAGTGGACAGACAGCAGGAAGTGACATCAGACTTGCTTCCTGCACACAGTGCTGACCCGCTGACATGGCAGTCAGGTAGTTGCTTTAAGCAATGGAAGCTAAGTCTACCAGACTTTCTGCACTTGCTAATTACTTCTCATCCATAGAGAATGTTTTGTGCAGCTATCTCATGGTCTATACAAGGTTTTCTGAACATAGTTTTCAGTCAAAAATTGAAATGTAACAATGTACCTTTGCTGAGGACCGAGTAATTGCAGCATTTTCATGTACTGAAACACAATATGCGCAACCTGAACAAGGACAAAGGCAAACATTAGTAAATATGTTCTGAATTGACATTGCAGGATATCCCTGAAGAAAATGAGTTTGGAAGTGAAAGTAATTACTGCCAAATACTTTGAGGCATTCCAATGCTATAAAAATATAAGTTCAGTATTCTTTCTAACTACAAACTAAATTCAAAATCAATCAAATTCAAAATTGAAACTAATATGTAGGTTGGAGAAAACAATTCCCAACTGTCTTTACCTCATAGAATTGCTCATAGCCTTCATCAGTCAATGTAATAGAAATGTTGAACACTGAATAGGTTGAATTTTGTTCAAATCCAGTCTCATCATTTCCTGCAAATAATGCAAGAGCCAAACACCTAGAAGAAATAATTCCTTTATTTATACGTCTGCAGAACACACACACGTGGCAAAAGTATTGCAACAATGAAACCAAGACAGTATTTCAAGGCTGCAAAATATCAATACATTTTACATTATAATTAAAAAACTGAAGGAAAAACTAATCATTCCTAAGGTTCAGTATTGGATCTTAGGATAGTTCGGAGCCATTATGTTTTATTGATGTGGGTAAGTGTAATACAGTTACATAATATCCATTTTTAAAACAATTTCTAGGTCAAATTTACACCGTATAACAAGAATGAGTTCAACACAATCATTTATGCACCAGTTTTGTGCAACATCCGCAGTTTATCAGCGCCTTGGGACATCCTCCCAACATGAAACGCTAAACAAATGTAATTTTATATTATCTTAATATACTTCAAGACAAAAATAATTGTTAAGACTATACCAGATTGTAGTCACATAATAGGTTTACATACGTACACGTGTTCTTTCTCAGACCATAAATAATACAATTCTGAAACCTCAAGCAAACAGGTGAATCATAATACAGATGCCTTGCACAGAGCTGTGTTACAAATGCCCATTTGCTCCTCACCTAGGCAGCCTTAGGGAAAACTTGATGTTTGTGTGGTTTAGTGTTTCGCTCTGAGGCTATCAGATTGGGATTTGAGGAAGAATTTGCACAATCTATGCTACAACAATAATATGTTGTTTGTGGGAAGGAGGAACGTACATTAAGAAAACAAGTTAAAGTTCAGGGTTTTTAAATCGCCATGACAGTGTTTCTTCAAAAGTTTATTAGTTATTTAGGACAATTCACTCTATCGAAAGCAATTGTATAAATCGAGGTTTGCTTCCTAGCAGAGAGAGATCAACAGCTTGCGATGTCCTCCCAACATGAAAGGCACTTTACAAATGTAATTTTGTTGTTGTAAATGGGCATAAACTAAATATTTTTCTCGTACTGTCCCTTGTTTGTTGTGAAGTGACCTGCTTTCTTCTAAATAAGTTAGAATTAGTGCTCTATACGTTTTGTGAATAAATAAGACAATTCAGGGTGAAAACATATTTAATAACTCTCAGTACTTACATCTTCCGAAGAAGTGACAGGATACTCCCTTTTCCTTCATGTCCTATCAGCCAGGATATATACTGGAGTGGCTTGACCCTAACAAGGTAATTAAAGGGAGTTATTAAAACAGGATTAATTAGTCACAGCTTTTATTTTAGATTTCTCCCATCTAGAAGGATATGGGAAACAGTAGCAGTAGGTCTAGAAGGGTATGAGAGAGAGTAACAGTAGACGGAGAAACATGTGGGGAATAAGCACTAGAACGGACTAGTTGGGCGAATTGGTCTTTTTCCATGCTCTACATTCAATGTAAATCTATGTAAATCACCCTTTCACTAAATTCCTCCCTCGTCATGGTGCATGTTCTACTTGAGTTTAACTTGCCTTTAAACGTTTAATTTGTGAAATCTTATCAAACATATTCTGAAAATCCAAGTAGACTACATCTTCTGTATTGCTCATCCTCTAGTTTAATTACCTATTCAAAATACAATTCCACAAGATTCATCCTATTGCTTCTAAATCTACCTTGCCTGCTCCCTATAGCACCTGAGTAAAGATAAATATTAATAGCACCCTTTATAACATTCTTAAGTATTTTCCCCAGTAGGCACTGGAAGTCTAATTTGAAATGTTTCTCAAACAGGATTTCACAATGAGGAATATTATACCTGTAATGCTGTTTCTGGGGTGGGAGCGCCCACGTTATGTTCAGAGAATGAACTTTAGTCACAGGAACAACTGCAAAACAAAGAGAATATGCGGATTACAATGCACAGGTTAATGTTAGTCAATTTGAATCACAGTAGCTTTGATATACTAAATCTTCATTGTTAATGTGAATGCTTGAGAGAGTTCATAATTCAACTGTCTTTTCCCTTTAGTTTGAAATACCAAAATTATTTTCATTTTAAATTGATGGAAATGGTGCACAGATGTTAATAATTGTGCATCTTTAAGATTTATTGCAATGTGTTTTGAAGATAAACAGATTGATTTCTCCAGTTAACTCAGCCTCACAATACATAAAGCTACAGGGAGCATCGGGTTACAGTAATAAGCATAAGACCTGTATTTATAAATTCTGACATCTAAATCAGCAGTTATATGTTATATACATCTCTATAAGCCCTAATTATTTAATATACGCAACTGCTCAGGGATTTCCATATTCAATGTGGACATAACATTGAATAAGAGGGCTGAGCGAAGGTGATATTGCTTTGTAAATGAACTCACCTCGATAAAGTTTGTGAAATTCATCTGTTTCAAAGGGATCCATGAAATGACTGAAGTCCGGCCTGGGCAGGTCACTTCACAACAAACAAGGGACAGTACGAGGAAAATATTTATTTTATGCCCATTTACAACAACAACAAAATTACATTTGTAAAGTGCCTTTCATGTCGCGAGGACATCCCAAGGCGCTGGATAGACAGAGTTACGGACCCGAGCTGGAGGTCGGGGAGGGAAGCAGGGAGCTCGAAAGCACGGTCGAAGAGGATCTTGAGATGGGTCTTGAAGGTGGCAAGGGAGGGGGCGAGGCAGAGTGACTGCCGGATGGAGTTCCAGAGGGTGGGGGCAGAGTGGCAGGATGCCCGCCCGCCAATAGTGGGGCGAGTGAGACGGGGGACGTGAAGCAGGCCGGTGCCCGCTGAGCAGAAGGAGTGAGCAGAATGGTAGGGGATTAGGAGATCGCAGAGGTGGGGGGGGGGGGGGGGGGGAGTAAGACCATGGAGGGCTTTGAAGATGAGGACCAGGATCTTGAACTGTATCCTCGATGATGGAAAGCCAGTGGAGTCGGGCGAGGGTGGGGGTGATAGGGTCACGGAGCCTGGTGCGGGAGAGAACACGGGCTGCAGAATTCTGGATGATCTGCAGCCTGTGGAGGGAGGAGTTGGGGAGGCCAACAAGCAGTGAGTTTGCATAGTCGAGCCTCGATGTAATGAAAGCATGTATGAGGGTTTCGGCAGCCTTCAGTGAGAGACAGTGGTGGAGACGGGCGATGTTGCGGAGGTGGGGGAAGGCAGAGCGCGTCATGGCGCAGATGTGGGGTAGAAAGGATAGTTGAGGGTCAAACAAGACCCCAAGGTTCTGGACTGGCTTAGCGTGGTGGAGTGTGCAACCACGGATGCTGATGCTGTCAGCGCCTGAGGTGAGGAGGCGCTGCGGGAGCCAATCAGGATCCTCGGTCTTGTTAATGTTCAACTGAATAGAGTTGGCTCTCATCCAGGACTTGATGTCCGACAGACATTCTGTCAGCACAGCAGCGGGTCCTGGAGTCAAGGGTGGAGGCAGAGAGATAGAGTTGGGTGTCATCCGCATACATGTGGAAATTGACCCGATGACTGCGGATGAGGAACATATAGATATTGAAGAGGAGGGGACTAAGGACAGAGACCTGAGGAATGCCGCACGAGACAGTCCGGGGGCTAGAGGAGAGGAGAAGCCGTTTGCGGAGATGAAGTCCAGGCGGTGTGAGAAGTAAGAGCTAAACCAGTCAAGGACAGTGGAGGTTGAGGTGAGAGGAGAGGTGTTGGATGAGGATAGAGTGGTCGATGGTGTCGAAAGCAGCAGAGAGGTCAAGGTGGACGAGGAGGCAGAGGGAGCCCTGGTCGCAGATGGACAGAATGTCATTTGTCACTTTGACCAGGGCTGTTTCTGTCCTGTGGGAGGCACGGAAACCTGATTGGAGGGGTTCGTGAAGGGAGTGGCGGGAGAGGAAGGAGCGAAGCTGAGAAGCAACAACTCGTTCCAGGACCTTGGAGAGGAAAGGGAAGTTTGAGATGGGACGGTAGTGAGGGAGTAGAGAAGGGTCCAAGGAGGGGATTTTTAAGGAGTGATGACAGTGTTTTTTTAATGGGGTGGGAACAGTACCAGAGGACAGGGAGAGGTTTACGATGTCAATGAGTAGAGGGGCAAGGAGTTGGAGCTGGGAGGTAAGGAGAGGGATAGGGTCCAGGGAGTTGGTGGTCGGTTTCATACGGGTTATGGTGGTGATGAGAAAGGAGCGGGAGACAGGTTCAAAGGTGTGGAGGGAGGGATGGGTAAGGGCCGGGGTGGAAGGAGGAGATGGGAAGGGAATAGCAGACGCAGTGGCAGCTGAGCGCATTCCCTCGACTTTAGATTCGAGGAATTACAGCATCGCCTCGCAGTTGGCATTTAAAGCTTATATTTCAAGCAATTAGCAACAAACTGAGCATTTCAACGAGGTAACATTTAAAATAATTCTCCTAAGCATTAATTCATATTTAACTAATTAAATGATTTAAGATTCACAATGGGTCGGTGAGATTGACGATAGCAGTTTGGTGGGAAAACAATGACAAAATCACAATAATTGCCACCAATCCTGCAGTATATACACACAAAAACATTTTTCAATAATAGAAAACCAAAATGTAGTTATATTTTATAGAAATATTTTACATAATGCGTAAAAAAACATACTTGTTTGGTATGCTTGAAAATATTTCTTTCACCCAGGCTTCCAAAGCATTCAGACTTTCTGCAATATTATCACAAGACAAACAAAATTAATACTATTGAACTTTGGTCAAATGAAAATTTACACCAACAAAAAGAACTTCCAAACAAAAAACAGAATTTTTCATAGTTATAAATAATTATGCAAACCTTGTCAACTAAACATTAAATAGATAACAAAAAGAACCTATTTAAACTAAAAGAGGAAACATGGAGCATCATTTATTAAAAGGAACCTTTTGATTGGACAGCCAGAGTGATGTAATGAGCAGAATAATGACGCTTCCAGAACTCTTGAAGTCTGGCATGGACGTCAATGCCTTGTTGTTTGGGATTATGTTTCAGTGTCTGTGAATTTCCTGTTGAGATTTCAAAAACGTGTGAATCTTCAAAATGTAAAAGCAAGTGATGTATAATCCTAGGACAGGAGCTAATAAGGAAACAGATATCTTACCCCAAAAGAATTTGCTCATAGGATGACCAGGTTTGGCGAGGCTTCCAAATAACACCTCTTTCCTGCTGGAGTCAGATGGAATTGCAAGCTGAAACTCTACCCAGAGAAAATGTGAAATAGGATTTAAGGATACTACGTTCATTACCTACAAATGTCTACTTATACAACAATAACAACAAGATTACATTTGTATAGCGCCTTTCACATCGGGAGGACGTCCCAAGGCGCTGGACAGTGTACAGCATTTCAGACCCGAGCTGGGGTCAGAGGGGAGAAGGGAGGGGAAAGGGGGTGACCAATTGCATGGTCGAAGAGGAAGGTTTTGAGGCGGGACTTGAAGGAGGCTAAGGAGGTGGAGTGATTGGGGGATGGAGTTCCAGAGATTGGGGGCAAAGTGGCTGAAGGCTCTCCCGCCAATGGTGGGGCGGGGGACATGGAGCAGGCTGGAGCCAGCTGAGCGGAGGGAGCGGGCGGGTTGGTAGGGGATTAGGAGGTCACAGAGGTAGGGTGGGGAGAGACCATTGAGGGTTTTGTAGGTGAGGAGCAGGATTTTGAACTGGAGTCTCTGAAGGATAGGGAGCCAATGGAATCGGGTGAGAATGGGGGAGATGGGGTCACGGAGTTTGGTGCGGAAGAGGACATGGGCTGCAGAGTTCTGGATTATCTGCAGCCTGTGAAGGGAGGAGTTGGGAAGGCCGACAATATGCATTTGATATAGCACTTTCACACGAGGAAGACGTTTCAAAGATTTTTACTCTGAAGTTAGTAACTGTATTACACATGTATAAAATTCCCACACCCCTATCTCTTGTGATATAGTTCAACTGGAGTGAATAACAATTGATAGAGAAACATTACATCTAGAGATCAATGTAAAAGCACAAATAAGAAAACGTAGAGTGAAATGAACAACTTACCACTGTCCACAGCTTCTACTTCTCGGTCAATGGTATCTCGGATCATTAAGGGGCCAATGAAAAACTGAGCCCATCTGAAGAAATAACGTTAGTTTTGGTTCCTTTTGGAAAATATTCAGTATGCTGTCAAAATGCAGATATTAAACTGGTGTATCTTCCATTTCTTCAGCTAATTCTCTCCCTTCTCATTACACCTGCACACACTACATACAAGATACAAGTCTATACATTTTTTTTATTCTAATAAGCCAGGTTGAGAAAGGTCAGAAATTGCTAGCATTAACATGAAGTTCTCTCTGTTATCATGAGCACGCTTCATCTCTTAGTTTCTAATCAACTATACATATATATATAGAGATATATATAAAAAAGTCCATATATAGGCATTTGTTTCAAAATGATTAAAGGGATTAAAGGACTAAATTATTTGGTTCGCTGATGAAGTATTGAATCCGTTGTGTTTCCCAAGTTCTCCTGGACTTTCAGGTTTGTCCACCTGCTCCAAGCATTTCTGTCCAGCAACCCACAGAAAAGTGGTTTTAGATCATTACAAAAGTCAATATATACATTATGTTGGATTACTCGCTGCATACCCCTAAGAATCTCACCCATACAAGAGCAAATCACTACCCATCTAGAAACATACTGTACACCTTTTCCTTCCTCTACTCACTGACTTCCATTTGTCCATCTCCTCATTCAAACAGGAGTACATCATAAGGGAAAGGCGATTTAAGCCCAATTTCCTTGCCCCTTAAATTCTGGTGAAATCTTTGGTAAACACATTTCCCAAACCAGAAGCTAATAGGCTTGATTCCAAATGGCAAATTTAACACCACAAACAGCAGAATACATGCTTACCTATCGAGGGCTTCCTTGAAATACTTTCTCTGAATATCAAACTGAAACACTGTGGTTTCACAGTCAGTTGATGCATTGTCACTGCCACCATGCTTTTTCAGGAAGGCATCAAATCCATCCTCATCTGGAAACTTCTCACTCCCCATGAAGACCACTGAAACAACAGTCAAACTTTGATAAAAACAAAACAAGCAGATTACGACAACAACAAGATTACATTTGTATAGCGCCTTGCACATCGGGAGGACGTCCCAAGGCACTGGACAGAGTACTGCATTTCAGACCCAAGCTGGGTTTGGGAGGGGGAGGGAGGGGAGGGGAAGGGGGGTGGCCGATTGCATGGTCGAAGAGGAGGGTCTTGAGGCAGGTCTTGAAGGAGACTAAGGAGGGGGCGAGGCGGAGTGACTGGGGGATAGAATTCCAGAGGTTGGGGGCAGAGTGGCTGAAGGCTCTCTCACAAATGGTGGGGCGGATGGGTCGCGGGACGTGGATCAGGCCAGAGCCGGCTGAGCGGAGGGAACAGGCGGGTTGGTAGGGGGATTAGTCAGCCTCCAGTACCTCCCCAAGTGATCAGCATATGTGAGCTCGAACACCTGAGCATCAGCAAGCTAGTCAACCACAAGGCATCACAGCTAACTATTCTGTCAAGACCAAACATCTACATCTTCAAGGTATGAATGCACTTCCCCATCGGCAGAGTCAGTCAACAGCAGTGTAAAGGGTGAAACCCCAGATGCAACTTCCCTAACCCAAGTCCATGAGAGGAATTGTGGCATCTTTATTGTCACCTCGGCCTTAGATAAGAAAACAGAATGAATCTAGCTTCCTGGTCAGTTAAATCAGTTGATACAATGCAGCCCTCTTGTAATGCACTTCACTATAGCACAAATGCACTTAGAATGCGATGGCACTGAAGAACTCATTCACTGCACTTGTGTCCAGGCAGCACACTCGTTTCCTGTGCACCGGCCGACTAATGGTTCATTAAATCACCATCAGACATACTACTTTTGTGAGAAGAGTCAATAACTGGGAAGTCGGCCCTTTTAGCTTCTCCTACTACCGAAGTCACTGTGTGACAGATGCACCTTACAACTGCGAACCATATAATGTCTTTGTATAAGTAATGGCAACAAGCTCTATAAAAACATTAGCAATATCTTACCTATAACAAGTATGTATTTGCATTGACACAATTGACGCCTAATGGATATGGAATCTATATGAATGTTATTAAAGGCTTTAGCCACAGACAATTTAGGCAATAAAGACATTTAGCTTACTGTGCTCCAAAAAATGGGCCAGTCCTGGAAGGTCTTCAGGATCACTAAAACTTCCAATTCCAATACAGAGGCCAGCCGCTGACTACAAATAATAAATCGCATGTTAGAAACCAAATAATTTAGTCTTGGAAATGATTAGTTATTCTCCATTCTCTAGATTTGCTGTGCCAAATAAGCGAGGGTAGAAGGAAAATGGTTCCCAGGCTTCCCGGGTGAGGACAACATTTAGAATATTGTGTTCTGTTCAGGTAATTCTACAAAAGAAGAGTGAAGTGTTCGCAAGTGTTCCGAGATAGACAGATTGGGTGGGAGTAAAGAGAGAGACATGATGCATGTCTTTTAAATGATATGAGGCATAGATCAATGAACATGTAAGTATGCTGCAAAAGCAGAACTGGAGGGCATAGGTTTAAAATTAAAAAGACATAGGAGCTGTGGATATATGATGTGTCTCAATTACTGAAACAGCTTTCAAACCTATATCAATATTTCTGCTAAGAATCAGTCAGAATGGATTTTTCCAAGTGTTTCATTCAACAACTTCATTTATATAATGAGCTGCTCACGGAGTAGTGTCTTGTAGCGCATTCTTCAAAATGGCACATAAACTAAAGATTCAGTGGTCAGTAAATCTAACGTTCTTCTGGAGACCTAACTTCATTAAAAACGCTAAGCATCAGCCAAAATGTATTAATGTTTCAAATGAAAAGCAAAGAAAGGTAGACATTTACCTGCTTTTCGGCACCTTTGGGAATATTAAATGGTCTACCTGGATCTTCAAATTCCTCTATAGAATCTTCTGCAGAATCTGAGCCACTAGACTCACTATAATCCTCACTATCCTCTTCTTCCGACAATGATTCTGAATCAGTCCGCTTTGTTCCAATGGACATGTCCGAGATTAGAAGTGCACTTAAACCATTTTCCAGCTTGATATATCTGAAATATTAAAACATGTTGAACATATAAAACTCATCTTTCTATACAGAAATAGACTAGATATTTTTAATAGACAAATATAAATTTCTGCCTTTAATTTTATATCTCCTGCAATCTTAATAATACTTACACTTTATAAAGCACCTTATCCCATCGTTGAGATGCCTCAAAGCGCTTCAGGGAATAGATTGTAAAGTGGATTGACAGTGTTTGTCGGCGAAACACGGCAGCCAGTTGCACGCAGCAGTGTCCCACAAACAATCTTGGGAGTGTTTTAAATCTCATTTGACTACCTTAGCCTATTTCTATACACATGCCCTCAATCTTGTCGATATTAAGCTGTAGAAAGTTAGAACTCATCCAGAACTTAATTGTGTACCAGAACAGCAGTGGTCCTGGAATCAAAGGCAGGTTCAGTAAGGTAGAGTTGGCCATCATTCACACAGATGTGGCTGTGAATCCTCTGCTTACGGTTAATGTCACCATAGGGAAGCATGTAGGTGGTGAAAAGGAGAAGACGAGGATATTTTCCTGAGGAACTCTGCATGTGATTGTGTGGGGCAGAAGTAGCCATTGGAGGAGATGGTGAAGACACTGGGACTGGTAAAAGTGGGAAACAAGAGAGCCATGAAGGTGGAGCAGGGAGGAAGACGGTGGAGAAGACAGGAGACGGTGGAGAAGAACTGAGTGGACGACTGAAAAGAGTGATCAAAAGTTTGAATACCAAGGAGGCCGAGAGACCAGAGCCCTGGTTGCAGACGGGAGAGAACATTGTTGCCGACTTTGACCAACCTGTCCCAGTGCAGGGCTAAAGTCAGATTTGGGGGTCTTGTAAGAGTGATGCGACAGGAAGGAACAAAGCTGGAAGCCTACCAGCTCACCCATCTCCACTCCCAATTTATGACATCAAATAAATCCCACAAATCATCAATTGGTGGCAGTAATGCACCATCCAAACATTGCTGCTCTCATTGATGCTGTTTCAGTTGGGAGTTATGTAGCTTAATAATCATTTGAGGTTGCTTTGTGGAGGCGGGGCACTGTGGAACATCGCGGGTACAGTAAGAGCTTTATAAATTTATCATACTTGTATTAAATCCATGTGTAACTTTAAGCCCAGGGGATTGGTTGTAGATTTATATATTACTCTACAGTCAGTGGAGGTAGTTATAGATTTATATATGATAAATCCATGGCTGTAACTCCAGGGCTACAACAAATAAGTGATATTTCCACTGACATGACTTCACAATGATGACATGACATCATAAAGTGCCTTCAACTGATGGCTTTGGGCTCTGAGATAATGAACCGACTCATCCCCAATGAACCTGTTCAGTGGGACCCGCAGTGACGCGCCGCGGTGCAAGGACTCCCGCAACGCGATTCTTATTCCAACCTGGAAATAAGAGCATTAAATAAACACATTCCGCCGATGATTCCGATCCACAGTGGAAGCCGCGCGTTAGGGTCCATCCCATTCAATCCGATTGCTTGGGCAGTGTTTTCACTCCGGGCTCCGGGCCTCTGCCCCGCGTGAGGGGCGCTGTGTGACACGGGTTGTTGTTACTCCGCCTGCAATCTGGAGCCCGGCGAGGCCTGGGCCTGGGCCTGGGCCTGAGGTGATGGGGACAGTGCAGTGTGGAGGTTGGGATCAGTGAGATGTTGCGGAGAGGCTGACACACACTCTCTCTCTCTCTCTCTCTCTCTCGCGCGCGCGCGGTGACGTTACCTATATTCTTTGGGGTCATTGGGAGATTTGACGATGTCCGCGTCGCTGCGGTTGTGGATCATTTCTTCCTCCTGTTCAGCCTCGGGGGCGATGTCCCCTTCCCCCGCACTGTCCATCGTGCCCGGGCCGGTCTCCATGGACAACGCCTGGTACTTGTTCCTCACCGGCATGGTCAGGGGCGGAGGCCCGGGTCCGGCCACCCCGCCGACAGGCTGAGGCGCTGCTGTCAACCGCTTCCCTCGAGGGCCACCGACTGAAGGCCCGGGACCAAAGCTTAGCCCTGAAGTCAGTTTAAAAAATGTGTGAGGTGAAAGCAACCGCTTAAACATACAAATAAATAACCCGCGCCGACCCTCGGCCTTTCCCACCTGATTGTTTCGCTTATACCTAACGGACAATAATGGCTGCGGACTGACGGGACCCCGCGGGAGCACGAACCCAACTGCCGGCCTCGGGGCCGCACCGCACTGCACCGCGCGCCGCCAGCTCCCGCCTCCCCTGGCCTCTGATTGGTCCCTCGGCCGCCCTAACCCACAAAGCTTGATCCTGAATGGCTAGGGTGCCCGTCAGTCACTCCCGCCGCCGCTCAGCTCCCGCCTCCCCCCCACGCCGCGCTCGCCACCTACCCTCATCTCTGATTGGTTCTCTGCCCGCCCGCACCCACCCACAAAGCCTGGCTCTTGAGTGGCTGAACCGCCCGTCACTCACTCCCTCGCTGACTCCGCCCCTGCCTGGGACTGGAGGCGTCACGTGTGCTACACTGGGTGGGGGGCACCAACTCAACTCCTGCTAACCCAGTAAGCCATGGGTAGGGTAGGGTGGGGAGGTCCTCGCTGGACAAGCCAAAGCCATGATGGGTAGGGTGGTCCTCGTTGAACAAACAGCGGGAAAGCTTGCCAGGCAGCGATATCAATGGCTATGGGGTTTTAATAAAAAAAAGTTGCATTTGATACAGCGCCTCATCACGTCTTCGAGACGTCTCAAAGCGCTTTACAGGATATACTGTAAAGTGTAGTGACTGTGTATTTTGTGGGCAAAACGCTGGCAGACAAAATTGCGCACCGCAGTGTCACACAAACAGTCATGGATTGAGTGACCAAATTCTTTCTTACTTTCTTATTTATTTATTTGAAGAGATTATTACTTTCTTGTATTTTAGCTGGTTAGACTCTAGTAATTACCTTCAATACGCACTCTGGGGTCTGCAAGCCTTGGCTCTTGCTAACCTGCGCCTAATACTTTCTGGAATTAGCAGGACATATACCTCCAGAGAGAGGGAGCGGATTCCCTTCCAACAATCTATCTCTGTAGGTGGGATGCATGGAATTCTTAGTTTGGTTTGGAGACTCTTAAGCACGGTGATGGGTTCCTGTATGTGTCAGACACCCGGCTGACCCCCCAAAAAGTTGGGTTTGGGATATGGTTTCGCCCACAAACTACACAGTCACTCCACTCCACATATATACTTCAAAGCCCTTTGAGATGTCTCAATGATGTGATAAAGTGTTACATCAAATGCAACGATTAAAATTATTATTATAGGATGGGAGATGGGATATGGGGTGGAAGCAGGGTTGCCAGAAATTAAAATACATTTGTAGCGCAAAGTCAACCAAATACTAGCCCAAAAGTAGCCCAATATTATGTGTTGCCCAATATGGGTAGAAAATTGGCCAATTTAGGGTTAGTACTTTTAAAACTGTAAGTAAAAGTCGGAAAAAATAAGTTTTGCAGGTTTAAATTTTATAAAATGAAGCTCCCGCCCAAAGCCATTTATCACACAGAGTACAACAACACAAGCAATTGGCCGAGAACCCGCCCAATTTGACATTATATAGGAGATGGAATGGAAAATGGGGGGGTGAAACAACAACAACTTGTATGTATATAACACCCTTCACACAGGTTAGCATCTCAGAGCAGTTGATGGGCAGAGCTCAATCCCAAACTGTGGAGAGAGAGGAGGTGACCATAGGCACCATAAGTTAAGAAGGATGGCTTTCAAGTGTGATATGAAGTTGTGCAAGGAGGGAGCAAGGCAGAGGGATTGAGGCAGAGATGAGATAAATTTATAATAATAATCACCCTTGCCTTTGATATAGTGCCTTTTTTATCAAGAAGACATCTCATAGCACTTCACAAGATTTACACTAAAGTGTAATTACTGTGTGTTTCTGAATACAATCTAAGTTGAGTACAACTAGCTGAACCTGAAACAGCAATTGAACCTGGGACCTACCTGTTTGTGCAGCTCAGTTTCACGGCGGATGTAGGTTTGCGAGCAGTACACAGCAGGGGAGCTGTGTAAAGTGTTACATTTATTTTGTTTGATGAAGGGAAAATTGCCAGAACAGCCATCCCATTGTCAGGAACAGTTGCTACGATGATGCATTTCAGTGCAATCATATTGTGGGTGTTTCCAGGTTAATGAGAAACTGTTTGCCAAGCATTGCCCTTCAATCACACTGGTAACAACATAAACATCAGTGATCAATTTCTAACAGCAAGTTACAACATTAAGAGGGTACTCGAGGGCATGCTGGTGACAGCACATCGGCAGGACTTGGAAAGGCAGACCAGTTACTGAGGGCAGGGAATCCTCCCACTCAGGTCCTGTTATCCCTGCAGCCAAAGCCTAACTAATGGGTAGGATGGTCGTAGCTGGACAAGCAGCGGGAATGATTGCCAGACAATGACATCAATGTTAGACTCCAGTAGTTACCCCGACGCATATTCTGGGGTCCCCAAGCCTTGATTCTTGCCAACCTGTGCCTAATACGTTCTGGCATTAGGTAAGCGGGATGTGTCCCTTCAGGAGCTCACATTCCAATCCAACAATCCATCTCCGGGATTTCCATGTGTAGGTGGGATTCATGGAAATCAGATTGGTTTGGCCACTCTTTGGTGATGGGTTTGGTCATGTGTCAGACAGCTGGCTGACCAAAAAAGAGGGTAGTAAGTGAAGAATTAAAACCTTTAGGGATTCAAATTGGGTTGAAAAAAAGAATGAACAAATATATTAAATATCTGCTTCCTGGAGGTTTTTACCAGATCGGATGAGTCGAAAGGCTTTCTTCATCCAGTCCAATCTTGTCTATAAATCTTGTCACAGATGAGATTTGCATCTCAAAGAACTGATACTGGGAAGAAACTTATCTGGCACACAGTGCTGACTGTCCGTCATTAAGTAATCAGTAAATTACACGTGGACATTAATTGAACTCCACTGCTCAGGAGCCATCATGGTACTAATGCACTTTAGATAGATGGTACAACAATAGCATATTATAATAATAATCCTTGCATTTAATATAGTGCCTTATCACATGTTCAAGACATCTTAAAGCGCTTTACAGGATATGCTGTAAAGTGAATTGACTGCATATCCACGCAATAACTTTGGAGCGATTTGAGCTACCTCTGGGTGTGCCGGGATAACACGTAAATATCAAATTACTTTAAGATTTTAAAAAAAGATAACATTACTTTATATGTAGATTTGTTTATGATGGTGATGTTCATGGTGACTTGCAAATGTCCACTAATGGTTCAATGCTGATATGATCCTGAGCCCATTTCATTTCATCTGGATTCTACACTTAATAAAACGGTGTATTTTACAATTCGCGCCACGTGACTACTTGCTGCAGGAATGGAGTTCATGTCCTTGATGGGACCATGCAGCCACCACAACTGTCTCTGAAAGCTTTAAATCTGTGGCTTTGACATTGTGCTCACACGACAAACACTAGCAGCAAATGGTGTCAGTTACCTCAGGTCACCTAATGAAGTTGGCAATCACACATTCAACATTTTATTAGAGTTCTGTGGAAGAACACGTTTTGTTATACTGTATGTAGTTTCAAGGGAGAAATGACATAGAAATTGGTACTGTACATTGCCGTAATAAATATTAAGACCATAAGACGTAGGAGCAGGAGTAGGCTATTCGGCCCCTCGAGTCTGCTCCGCCATTCAACAAGATCATGGCTGATCTTCTAACCTAATTCCATTTACCTGCCGTATCCCCAAATCCCTTAATCCCTCTATCCTTTAGAAATCTATCAACCTCAGTCTTGAATATGTTCAAGGACTGAGCATCCACAGCCTCTGGGGTAGAGAATTCCAGAAATTCACTACCCTCTGAGTGAAGAAATGTTTCCTCAACTCAGTTCGAAAAGGCTGACCTTTAATCTTGAGACTATAGTTTTAGATTCTCCAACCAGGGGAAACCGTCTCACGGCATCTACTCTGTCACTGGGGGCAGGGAATCCTCAAGACCTTTAAGAATCTTATAGTTTTCTATAAGATCACCTCTAATTCTTCTATATTCTAGAGAATTATAGACCCAGTTTACTCAACCTATCCTCATAGGTCAACATCCTCATCCCAGGAACCAACCTAGTGAATCTATGCTGCACCCCCTCTAAGGCAAGTGTGTCCTTTCTTAAATAAGGAGACCAAAACTGCACACAATATTCTAAGTGTGGTCTCACCAAGGCCTTATACAACTGCAGCAAGACTTCCCTACTCTTGTACTCTAACCCTTTTGCAATGAATGCCAACAACCTTCCTAGTTGCTTGCTGTACCTACAGACTAACTTTTTGTGACTGGTGTACAAGTCACCCAAATCCCTCTGAATATTAACACTACCTAGTCTCTCCCTCTAGAAAATGATCAGCTTTTCTATTTTTACTACTTAGGTGAATAACTTCACACTTCCCCACGTTATACTCCATCGGCCACCTTCTTGCCCACTCACCTAGCCTGTCTATTTCCCTTTGCATTCTTCTTGTGTCATCCTCGCAGCTTATTCTCCCACCTAGCTTTGTATCGTCCACTAATTTAGATATGTTAAGTTCTATTTCCTCATCTAAATCATTGATATAGACTGTCAGTAATTGAGGCCCAAGCACTGATCCTTGTGGCCTCCACTAGTCACATTCTGCCAATCTGAGAAGGACTTGTTTATCCCTACTCTCTGTTTTCTTCCTGTTAGCCACTCTTCAATCCATGCTAATATATTACCTTTAATTCCATGAGCTCTAATCTTATGCAATAGCCTTTTATGTGGCACCTTATCGAATGCCTTCTGGAAATCCAAATACACCACATCCACTGGTTCCCCCCTATCTAACCTGCTAATTACATCCTTAAAAAACTAAAGATTTGTTAAACATGATTTCCCTTTCGTAAAGCCGTGTTGACGTTGCCTAATCATGTTATGATTTTCGAAGTACCCCACAACGACATCCCTAATTAAGAACGCTAGTATTTTCCCCACCACCGATGTCAGACTAACTGGTCTATAGTTTCAAATTTTTTGTCTCCCACCTTTCTTAATTAGCGACATTACGTTTGCGAACTTCCAATCAATGAGAACCATTCCAGAATCCAGGGAATTTTGGAAGATCAAAAACAAAGCATCCAATTTCCCTTAATTTTAGTAAGAGATTTGGCACCTTCAATCTGACTCCAATAGCAAGAGGAACA